GACTCCTGGTACATGACCTGGGGGGATGTATTTTGTAAGCCTATGCCTAACCAAGGGACGGATGCTTTGGTGTATGCGGTACTAATACACACACTTCCTTTAACGAAACTGGAAGAAACGTGAATATCGCCTGTGTGTGCTAGTTCTCCAGGACAAACCACCAGCTCATACCTCTCAGGGTTGGAAACGCTGCTTTCCGCCAATGTGGGTTTGAATTGATTCCCCTACCTCCTTATTCGCATGATCTGGATCCCTTCATTTTTACATTTTCCCTCTTTCGGAAGAAAATTGCCTGGAAATACATTCAGTAGAGATGATGACGTCATGATGGTCGTTGACAGTTAGTTAGAAGACCAATTATGATAATTTTTATTGACTCATTAAGCTAGAATCGCGCTTGAGAAAATGCATTGCTGTTTCAGGAGATCACGTCGAAAAATGAAATAACATTCGTGATCTTCAGGCTTCGTCTTACCCCTTAGGCGGGACATTTTTGAACGCCCCTCGTATGTGCAACTAGGGTGGATAACCTAGAAAAATGAGCATTTGGGGGAATGATACCCATACTCAGTCAATGTTAGAAGAAATGCAAAATGCATGATTCTGGATTCTGGATAGGAGAGGGTGTGATGATGGGATACTTCATGAGACGCATTGAAAAAGTGATTGAATGAAGAAAGGAAAGCATGCGAACCATTTGAAGATATACAACGATCTATACAGTACTTTATTCGACAATATTAATAAATTGACATTTTCCCTCATTCGAGATACTCAGCAAAATTTCAGATCCTAAACCAACAGACCTGCAAACCGCTGGAATTTGGGGCATGGCTTGCAAAGCAAATATCACCGAGAATGAATTTACCATGCGCCCGGATATCTATTCTTCATTATGCTATTATTGCACATATTAGAACAAGACATATTAACACAGGAAGAGGCGACAATGAAGAGCAAATATATAAATTCTTGACTTGTGGCAGAACAACTAGAACGTCTAGCTCTTGAAGGTAAACGCATGTGTGTAATTGTGAGATCACAGCATTAAAGCATTAAATAAACCCATGTTTCAAGAAAACCAGTTTAGTGAACATGTGCATCAGTTTACTCCCTGTTGAAAAAGCATTCCTCCCCTTTGTTAAATGCTGAAGGCGCACCTTCAATGAGGACACTACTAAATTTACTAATTGATGAATGTGGCTATTATCAGGTGATGATTGCATGTCAGCATGCAAAGATAGGATGAGGAATTATGTATCTAGTTCTCTTAAAACCTACCCCTGAAGTTCTGATAGGTGATTGGGACGAGGAGGGAACCAGCTTCGTGCCATTCGCCAACATTTTCCTGAGGCATCGTTCCCTCCGATTGGCAGATGTTCCGCAGCCTTGGACAGGGATGATAAAGTCCACATCGGTTCTTCCTCCGGGCTAGGTCCCTGCTTTCATCTTGATTATCATGAAAGTCTTGCTTGCAGATCCTACAGTGGATATGTATCGCCATTGGTCTTACGACAGGACCTTTGATTAAATAATATCTCGCACATATTTTTGTACGTTTCATAGGAGATGGAATAAATTGGTGGTTTTCATGCTGCTGGGTGACGTCTGTTTCAGCATTTTATACGCGAAGACTCGGTCGTTCCCAATTTCTGGATTGCTCCTGCAAGGTAAAAAAATAAATAAACGTATTAGCACTGAATATCTTCTTGATCTTGACCTAACTTTGAAATTATTTATATTTCATTGAATTCAGTTTTGGGGGCCCATATTGGATGGTCAACTTTGATTGCTTTTGTTCTTTGAAGTAATGCAGTTTTTATGCTGAAATAATATGAGCATCGGAATCTGTTCTCATTGAACCTTGATGTGCAGTGGTGTCTTTTTTTTTTAAGAAAACAAGGTATTGTGTAGTTTATATTAATAGTCAATGCCTTTCACTGCATAATTATTTATGTATGTTGCAAATATGTCTTCAATTATTCTCATATCTGTAGATTACCTGCTGGAGGAGAATATGATGGATTTTTCAAGAATTGAGCAGATTGCAAGGTCATTCCTCATTATCTCATGCTGCACTAATAGCCCTTGTATGCTGCAGTGAATTGCTGAGTCGTGGAGTTGTTGTTCATCCCTCTTCTACTCTTCTTGGCACAGGACAGCAGCTCAAGATGGTCTTGTGAGACTTTTTATGTCTGGAAATATCTAAAATAAATAGTGGAAACACATTAACCGGAGAGCTCATCACATTGAATACTACAACACATGCTTAGAGGTAATATAAATGATCAAAGGAGCTGTACTTTAAGGATGGTAAAGATGACGTGACAACCTTCTCCAAGAAGCGGCAGAATACTCAATATGTCAATGATGAAGCCCATGACTGGAGCTTCCTTGAAGTTTGATGCATGTATTGCCCTGTTCTGGGGCCTCTCCATTCCAGGGGGTATATCTTTATTTTCTTCAAGATAGGTTTCCAGATGTGTTCATTTTGTTGTGGAAGGGGAGCTTTATTGCTGATGGCAAAGGGACTCCTGGAATTCAATATGTTGAAAAGCCTTTTAAAAAATTTTAAAAGCAATTTCTTTCATTGGCTTTGGAAGAACTGTCAGGATGCACCTATCAATAATTCGGAGGGGAAATTCCCTGTAGCAGTGCAGCGAGTGAACTCTGGCTGATGTAGGCCCTTCTTACAATATTTAGGAGCATCTGCTGCTGATGCAATATATGTCTAGGATGCAATGTTCATTCTCATCTTGTTCTTCATATAGTCAATTTGAGCTTGTCCATACTTATTTCCTTTGTGGAAACCCTCTTCTAGTAGATTGTGAAGCTCTTTTACAAAGCCCCACCTGATTTCCTGGGAGTGATTATGAAACCATTTACAATTAACATTTTTCATATTCAACAGTGAATTCCTACTAAACTCATCTTACATTTTTTTCTCAATACTTACCTGATACGTAGGCATGATTCATTTTGGCAGCTGTTATGGTTCTTTTGTTTGAGGAGATACTTTCTTCAATGCAATGAAGAAGAAAACATTATTATGATATTCTAACTTCTTTTGCAATTCTTTACTTTTCCATCAGCAATCAGCAGGACTCTTTGGTGAACAAGACAGTTTCTCATTAGTGTGAGCATGTATCAAGCATCCAGAAGAATTTGCACATCTAGTTGACCTTCCACAGGGTATTCGAAACTAAGAGATAGTGCAGAAGCAGAGGTGAAATGGACGCAAGGACGCCTACCTTTCTTGAAATTTGTTGAAGTGCCATGACAAGTGGGGCCACGACCTTGAATAATGGAACAGGTTATTTTACACGATGTAGCTTCCCATAAAATGTTTTCAATGAGCAGCTATCAGTAATTTATAATAACGAATAAATTTACTCCAACATCATGGGCTCTGCGCTTCGATGTGTGAACAACCACTAAGTAGTGCGGAAGGGGGGGTGCGAAAGCAGGAGGAAAGCGCCGCGCAGACACCCTAGCGTAATCATTAGGCCTTTCATCAACCGCCTCATAATTCTCTCTGAGAGTATCAACCGGAACGAAACTAGACATGTTTCTTCCTCTTTCTAAACAGGATATCTCCACCTCTTTCAATTAGGCTTACTGTGCTTGCTCCAGTACCATTCCCTAGTGCTGCTGCATACCGTGCTGAAATTATGCCATATTCAACACTATTTCAAGTTTCGTATCGGCGTCTGGATCTTCTGCTTCTTAATGTATGACACATTTAATGTGCTGAGTTCATGAGTTGAGCTGAGAAAGAAGGCGATGGTTGGAGTGATTGATCGATATGGTGCGATATGGATATATATTATCCGGACATCCCCTGAATTAACAGGATGCCGCGCACCGTAGTTACCATGCTTACTGGAGGTATTCTATTCTCAGACTTATTCGAGATAATTCGATGAACTCTAGATAGGCCTAACGTTTCACGTCCTCAACGAGAGAGACTAATTCACCCTCATAGTCTTCATTGACCCCGTAAATCAAGAATTGAGAATATGTTCAGAGCAAATGGGTAGTCCTTGGCCTGACGTCAGTGAATCCCGTAGAGAAGAGGAGGGAGGGTGTTTGAAGAAAGAGAAAGGCATTGAAAATGTGTTTCCCCATTATTAAATTATGCAGAGTATTCCAAAAGGTATGGAAACATTTTAAAATAAATATATTTCTAAATTATGCCCGGAATTCAAAGATTGAAACATTAAAGTCCAACTCAAACATTTTCAAACTAGTTATTGTAATTCCACATGTGCACCATTGGTGAATCTATACATGTGTAAGCAATGTTCGACCTCTTACCACATATATCATGCTTAGTGTCAGGCATAACTGGATGGCTGGGACGATTATGTTCTTTATTTATTGATCCACTGCCCACTTTCCTCCAGTAAGCGATGTCCTCGTCTTAGCTCACAAAAATGTCCACTAGGGTTAGTTCATGTCATTTTAGTTGTTACGGACTGGACCCGCTTCGTTCAATCCACAGATCTGGGAATTTGTTTGTCGTGCGTAAGTTTGCTAAAATGTGGAGGTACAACATTTTGGAAAATTATACTTTTATTGTACTGAATCCATCCTCCTTGGATTCTTCAATATAGAACTATGTGAAAGATATCCTTTACTCAAGAAAACCTAACAATCTCCAAGATTTGAGGAACAGATTGTCACAGCTATCTAGACAATTGCACATTACCCCCTGCATAAGTTGTAGGAACTCGAGCAACTTTTGAATGTGTAAAGAGCCAGGAACAGTGCCCATGATAAGTTGCAATAATAGGTTTAAAAGTGGTTGAATTACATTTCATTTAATTGTTTTAATAATTTTATTTCATGAATAATTTAGAGATTCACATTTGTTTAAGTATTTCCAAACCTTTTGAGACACCCTGTATATGTCGAAGGGGTAATATGGAGAGTCTCCTATTCGTTGCTAAACTTCACAAATGCATGCAGATATTGGAAACACATGAAACCGTAATTCGTCTGCTTACACATTTTATTAATGCTTCCAAGAAGGCCTAGGAGACACCGGCTATTAGAAAACCAATCCCGGTCTTAGAATCCTTTTAAGATAGTTCTCGGACGGTCTTTCTTACAGACAAATGGAAAGCGCCCTTCTTTTGGATAATCTCCCCTGGCATCGAGAACGGCGTATTCGCAGTCTTCCCCCAGACTCCTGCGAGAACTTGGTTCAGATCTTGCACAGTTCCCCATCACCCACTGATCCGTCCACGTGTAAGCGAATCCGTCGTCGGAGAGAAAGTTGAGGTTGGAGAGCTCGTAGTCGTAGGATGTCCCGTCGACCCATTTCCGTTGCGAATCTTCTGTTTGGAGTCCGATCCACAGAGGTGACGACAGAGCATGTTCACCTGAGTTGCGGAGATAAAAATGCAACATATTGGTCGAATGCTTTGTAGTCACGCTCACTTATTCACTGTCAGACATACCGCACTAAATCTCAGAAGTATTTCAACTCTTTTGCCCTCGACCACATTCTAAAATCCCGAATCACATCTCAGCCGATTAAGAATAGAGCAGGCCGCCATTGGAGAAGAAAAGAGAAAACCAGAGAACAATGAAGCTCATAACCGCAATCGGGATATTTACGCAATTATCACTTCTTGTTGGTTTTTCGGAAGGAAGAGTAATCATGTTGCGATACTTTTATTTCCTTTCCTTACAGAAAACAAACAAAAATAGTTAGTACCTCTCATTATGTAGAGAATGGTGAAAACGGAAGAGGCTAGTAAAAGGAAAGAAAATATAATTCAAAACAGCGCATGCAATGAGTTTTGTAGACATGTTGAACATTCAAATGTGCATCGTTAATAATTGTCCACGGTCATCATGAATGTGGAGAGAATTCGTGAACGTAACTTTTGGACAAAGCCTTAATGCAGCAAAGTCTCTGAAACCGTGAAACTCCCTTCCGTCTCAGTCAGGAATTTCCTTGCATATTCAAGTGGGAATCCATGGATCTCCTAAACAAAAAATCCCACTCAACGCATCATGGAAGCGATGAGAAACATACACTCACCGATGAACAGAAATTCCTCTTCCCTGTGGATGCTGGCGAGATTGGCCCCGACGTCCTCGCATTCCCGTTGTGCTTCCATCGCAGTCTTCCGGTCGTCCGCGAACAAGTAGCATCCCAACTGGAATTCCTCCCAGCCTTCCTCGCACTTCAGCGGCATCATGGTCCAAAATTCGGCGCTGAATCCTCTGAAGTTGAAAATACGACAATGAGTTAATTACGGAATCTCAGGACCCAGGAACCCCATGCGGCAGGATATGCTTCGCAATATTAATTCCAACTGAAGCTATCTCACCGATTAGTGAGGGTGCCGTCCGTCCGGAATGTAATCTGAAAGAAGATTGTTTCTAAGTCGGTGCTGAAACTTCCGAATTGCCCGCACAAGACCTCTGTCTTCTGATTTGCATATTGCGCTATCGCAAGGCTATCATAATAGCATGTTGGATCCCACTGGAGTTGGAAGTCCAGAAACTCGACGTAAACAAAACCATCTGGAATCACTTCAATGTAATACCAGCATAACTCATAATTGTTGTAATCATTGGGATAATTTGGGGAGGAGAAGGATCCCCACGGCTCCGTGAAGGTCACGTTGCACTCGGCATCCACGGATGACCACTGCAAAAGGCTCACCAGGAAAATACAAGTAATGCCGACGTGGGCTCCCATCTTTCCGTCTCTCTTCGACTCCCCGCTTGCGCTTCTTTGTTTCCTGTATGTATCACTGGAAAGTTCCCACCTGTTTATCCGGGAAAAGATAAAGGAAGAACTTAAATTCTAACGACTCTCGTGTTTTGAATATCGCGTCGAAAACGCATGGGAAAGTGTCCAGCTGCCGTCCATTGCTCATGTCAGTTGCCTAATATCCTGAATCCAACAAAAGCACGAGTGCTTATTTCTGTTCCACCATACTTCCATTTCCAGGAAAGAAAGCCCTAATTTCCTGCAAGAATATTTTGCCTCTGCTCTCCAATTACCTTTATTTCATTACCTTCCCAAAAATATCGAAATGGCATGCATAGTTCCACCAACAAACTTCCAGGTTCTGAATCGGAAACAGTATCTCACATGTAATATGTTTTTATGGCCTAGTTTTCTCTACTCATTTGCAAAAATGAACCGCAAGAGATGTCGCCGCTACAGCCAAATGCTTGTTTCTCTTCATCTCGGACGCTCTTGCATACCTGTGAACATTCTTCTGCGAGAGTAGGTGAGGACAGATAAGAAAATAGAGAAATCTCTGAGAGGATGAAGGAAAAAGATCAAAGGGATATATATGCGATTACAAAGTCGCGCAAGCCGAATGAATGGAATCTCATCTTTGAATCCTACAAAAAGGCCAAGGAATAGGCTATGTGCCCATGAATGCTACCCAGTTTTCCCTTTTTACCGGAAATAACATGTTCATGCTATTATCAAATTGCATGATGCTTTACAAAATAATCACTTTTCCAGTGCACCAGTCAACTCACTTCCATTTCACATTTTTAGGAGTTGTGGGACTTAAAAATGACCTTGTTAGTCCATTTTCCCATTCTCGATCGACTCACATCCCTGGTTGGATATGGAATGGGATTGAGAGTGCGAGCGTTGATGAGACTTTGATTTCGTTGAAGGTGCCACATACACCTACTGCAAGGGTCTGAGAAGCACTGAAGAAAAGGCGAGAGTCTCTCAGGCGGGGGAGCATGCGACGCCACGTCAGGACGAGGGCGTACTCTCGGCGAGAGGAGTCTTCCGACGAATTCACGCCTTCGGGCCAGTGTAGAACGCAAAAGTTACTATCCCGAAGAAACGACAATCTTAGCGCAAGTTTCATACGCTGAATCCACTACGCAAAATTGAACACGGTAGTCACCATTGCGTATGCGAAAAACAATATCGTAGTCGTTTTTGGCAGGAGTCAGATTCAGGTATTACAACCAGGGTTTGAAGAAAAGAAAGGGAAACTTCTTCAACGGAAATGCCCATAGTTGTTGGAAGTGAGAAACCGGTGACTTTCGTTTTTTCCTCCGTCCTCTGGAGTCCTAGTACGAGTCGAATCGCTCAACTTTATGAAATAATTTCGGGATCGGTGAGGAAATTGGTTTCATATGTATCTAGTTTATAGTGAATTTCCGAGTTCCGTCCAACTGGAATACCAACCGGCTCCTCAAACAAAACTAGATGTACTGAATATTTTTTTATCGCGTACTTCCCTTACTTGGAGGGGAAATACGTGAGTTTCCGCGACTGCAAATGAAGATGAAGCTAATGAATCCAGCTCGGTTGAAAAGCACTCAAATAAATGCTTCAATTCCGGGATTCGGGATTTTAGAGAATTTCCAGGAAATAAGAGCACGCGTGTAGAATACTCTCACGTATGAGTTTATCTCTGAGTAATAGCGTTGATCAGGTGTGAATTTTCACGGGGGCCTCGGTATTTAAAAGCCCGTCAAAAAGGCATAAAAGGTAAGTCTTGCCTCATATCTGGGTGTCCAGCACCTCTATCGATCGTGAGTCACTTTCATTTTCCTATTATATTCCGTTGACTTGATCCGAGGTAGGTCATCGTTCATTCAGTGCACTCATTGCATTCACTCGGTTCCATTCTATTCAACAGTCTTAATTCGGATGGATATTCATTCCATTTTATAGCAATTTGAGAGAATAGTATCGATGGTGCCCTTACGCTTCGTTTTTTCTTTCCAGGACTGAGAAAGCGATTCCAAGCGACAGAGTAGGAAGATGAAGGTCATCCCAAGTTTCCTGGGGATTGCATACATATTGGTAGAATGTGTTTTTGGAAAAGTAAGGATCATGATCTGCCCTCATATGCCCCATCGAGTTCTTCATTCTCGGTGTCGCTAGAGAATTATTTATTATCCGGGCGAATGCGCAATTTCATTACTTGGCACCTCCAATCTCATGGGAAAGCACCTCCAATCTCTCGGCGAAGCGCCTCCGATCATGGGGCATCCTTCCACTTTCGTTTCTTCCGTTTCCACTGTTACTCATTATATTTGTGCTTATGTGACTATTTCCTGTCAACATTCCCTTGAAATAATCTTGGGCGCTTACATTTTCGTGGTATTTTCAGGAACTCACGTTGGAACCTGCCTTAGAGCTGAAGGGTGTGGCGAAATTAGAGATGATGTCTGACGTGATTCTGAATAATCAAGAGCTCACTAATGCCATTGCTGGGTTGAAGCTCGACAATGATAATCTAAGGAGTCACATTACTCTCAAAAGTCAAGAGTTTGCAGATGGCATCGCTCACTTACAGGAGCAACTGCGTGCGAGCAACGTAAAATGTGAGGAAAATTCCGTATTTCGCGTTTTTGGATGCAAAATGCACTTCGTGGTACATGTACGCTAAAGGTACTTCGTGGTACATGTACCCTTGCCGATCCAATCTGGACTGAGGAGACTGGAGAAGAGATTGAGAAGAGGATGGGAGAAATTGAGCTTCGACCAAAGAATAGGAGACAAGAAGGTCTGCAAAACCTGGAGAGAGCTCAAGAAAAGCAGAAGGACGCCTACGACCTAAAGAGGTCAGGACCTGCCTACAATGTTGGAGACAAGGTTCTGAAGCGGAACGCGAGGAAGGACACGCGCATGGGAGGAAAATTGGAAGAGAGGTAAATATTTTATCATTGATCGAAAAGGGCAACTCCTAATCAAAGTGCGATGTAGGACATGATTCATATTACTTGCTAAACATTCATGTAACCAAACTCTACATGAGGTAACGACATTTCTTTCGACAGATTCGTGGGACCTTACTTCATCCGGGAGGTCTTAGCCAAGGATGCATTCTTGCTGCGGGATGACAATGGAAAGGATCTCACTCAGAAAGTGAACGGATCCAACCTAAGGCGAGTTATCAGCCCAATTATGCCATCAGCCGCCTCACTCTCCAAGTCTCTTCCACCATCACCGCCTCCGCTTCCTTCCTGGGCGGGTGTTTCTTCCGAGCCTTTTCCACCTCCGTTTGTATCCCTAACAGCTGATACTTGTTCGAATTTTCTTTCTTCTAAGCCATCTTCGAAGCAATGTGAAATACGTAATAAGGCCCCTGGAATTAAAAGGCAAAAAAAGACTCCCATGAAGGATGGGAAGAAGAAGCAATGTCCTCTGCAGGAGGAGCTATGATCAGTGTTGATCAGTGTTGATCTGTGTGTTGAGCTATGTATTATCAGTTTAAGTTTTTGTCAGTAAATAGTTTTTTTCTCTTGTGATCCTCAAACATGCATTTCTACTTCTACTAAAACGAACTCCCTGCATTTCCATTGAGGGAGGGGGGGAAAAATAATATGAAAATTTTTTCCCATGGGGAAAAATATCATACGACACCGGCAGTCCAGAAAATGATTTCTCGGCCAAAGGAGAAAGGCAATGGAGCTCGGGAAAGCTGACTTCTTCCCCACACCCTCCAGACTGCGACATGCGGCTGTGCCCCCCCACCCACCCCCAACCCGTCTTGCAGTATTAAATATCACAACTCTCATTCCTCCGTTCTCTCAGTTGTCTATGCTTAAGTATAGGCTAAAACTCCCTCATCAAGCCATCCAAAACATCCATTCAAGGGCGAGGCAACCCTAACACTTGGATTCCTTCGCTTGGACTGTCTGCTCGATATTGGAAACAGAGCAGCGTTTGATTTGAAATGGACACGTTGTTGAGACTTTAATAGTGTTTCTCTTGTTCGAGTCTTCCATTGTCATTTGGCCATTGGTCTTATTCAGAATTTTTTCCGCATTTTCGTCCATTCCTATATCCTAGTGACCGAAGTGTCTCTCCATCACCCCTTGCAATGCTTTTATGACATTTCAGGGCGGAAATGGTAACAGTGAAGCCGCAATTAATTGAGGCAGCGGAATAGGCGAGATCTAATGAATTGTAAGAAAGAGCAGCGGCAGCTGCAAATGGCATTCCAAGGGAACTGTTGGCGACAGAGTTCGTGGTGTTTCTGCGAAGATGGTGGTGACACTGGGAGAGAGGGAAGAACACTCTTGAATGCACATGAGGAAGAGGGTGTAGTTGATGGTATCCCTCGGGATCACAAAAGCCAGGATGCCCGTCACGCCAGCATATATCTTCCAGTTGGCTGCGAAAATCCTTCGTGACTTGCCTGAAAAGGATCTTAGAACACTTCTATAAGACAAGAGAGTATCGGAAGGATGGATGACTACCCGAGTAGCCATGGGTGATTCAAAACTCGTCCACGGGCAGTCCAGTTGTCCAGAGATGGATATAAGTCCAGAGGCGGTCGTCCGTTGGATGTACTTAGGAAGCCATGGATCGACATAGGTCGTATTCGCATCCATTTTGCGCTTTATTCAAGCAAAATTTCCATACATTCGAACACTCTTTCATTTCCATATTATTGAATGAATAGGAGTTCGAAAATCAAACGTAGAAGTATAAACTGTGGCATCATCTGCTGATTTCATTACCTTTATGGAAAATAGGATTCTGGAGAAAGGGCGACAGAGGGATGCGCGGAAAGGACAAGAAAGGAGGAGGAAAGGCCGAGCAGAGTGAAACTGAAAATAACGACGATTGTTTAGAGCAAACTCACCACAGGAAATATTTGGATAGGGTGCGACACGTTCAGACGATGGTTTCACGCGGAGAGGAGATGCTCCGGAATCCGAAATAATGAAGCCCCAAATTTTGCCAAGACGCACAAATTAACGCCTCGACGTTGCATGGAGACACCAGCATTGGACTGTGGAAGATTGGGAGCGCGTCCATCGGTCGGAGAAAGTCAAAGAATCAACCGTGCGGAAAACGTCTAAAAGCGCGCTGACAACGCACCATGTACAAGGTATGGCCAAGTTTGGCATGGAAGTCTGATGAAATTTGGGGGCAAGACTGCCGAAGGAGGCAACTACACGTGCCGCATCGTTGGCCACATGCACGCATAGCTCTATACCACGGCTTCCCAACCTTTTTCACGCGTGACCTCCTAAATCACGGTCATACCATTCAGGCCCGCAAAAACTGGCCGAAGTTCTACAGGCTCACCCAACAAAGCGCTAAATTCTCAAATAAAAACAAAACTTGGTTTTTAGCTGCTGGTTCGCGACCCCATTTGGGGTTCGCGACCCTGGGTTGGGAAGCACTGCTCTATACAAACATCCTCGATGACGAATTCCTCAAACCGTCGACCGCTAAGAGCAGAATGCAGGTGAATAATCATGAATTAGTTTCACATGCGTAAACAAAATATGGAAAGGATCGTGAAAGATCAAGAAGGGCAACACTCGTGGGAATGGCACGGAGAAGTGATTGTTAACTCCGTGAGGCAAGAAGAAAAGTTCACTTCCTCCAGCGGGAAATCGGCTTGGAGCATTCCAACTGATCCATCTCGTTCTGCCTATGCTGACTTCGGCGTTTTTTTGTGTTTTCATATGCCAGGGAAAGTGGAATTCAACCATTTAATACGTATTGATATCCGAGCTCCACAAGTGAAATGGGAATGAACCTGATACATCGTTTGCCTAAGTGACAAGCACGTGCCGGACCCGCTAATAATAATCTAGGGATGTTGACCATTTGGGAATAAATAACAGAAGTTGTAAATTTTGAACGAGAATCTGTCTTTAAAAAAGGGATAATAGTCACGGAAGTGCCAACTGATTACTTACCTTGACTCAAACTGATTTCTACTCGTTGGTACGGTATGGCATAGTTCTCTCTGGTTGTGTGGAGTAGATGAGGAATTTCTAGTGTGTTTACACTTGCACTCGAGTGTTATGACATACTGATAGCAGAATGTTAACAGAATGGCATAATGATGACCGTAGTGTGAAACTTCCTTAAAGTCAGATTGGGAAGCGTGAAAACGAAATTAGAATAACATGTTGGTGTATACAATCGGTGCGATTTCCAGTACCGACGGAAAGACACGGGATCAAAACCACAATAAATATGCCATTAAAATGTGAGGAAGATCCAGTCTCAGAAATATTAACGACTAACATCGTACTTTGGCTCGTACGAATTGAGGAAAATAGAAAATGCAGCTTAGCCCCAGAGTCACGAGTCCTACTGAAGCTTCCTTCAATCGAAAGCTTTAACTCGTTTATCATCTACCAATGTCAATGTCGCAAAACGCTAAAAATTCCTTGATTCCCACAAGAAAGCGCGATATCTCGTCTCCTTCATCCGAGAGATGGCGAGACGATAGGGAATCTCCGACTTTCCATTAAAACGTCCCTCCCCGCGCTTTCGTGTTATCGAATTGCATATTCCAATTCGAAAGAGCACATCCTCGGATGATAAGGAAGAGATCTGTCGAAACCCCTAATTCATATCTCGAAAAGTTTTGCCTGAAGAGCTGTCACAAACACACAAAAATGAAGGTACAAATTTGTCGCGCGACCAATGAAGCGGTCAGAATCACCCACGTTATATGAGGAACCACCATACCAAGATTACTTCTCAATCATTGTCAATGAGATCCTTCTCATGTACAAGAGGAACAAAAAAGAAGACAGAAAAAAACCCGGCTAGAGCCCAGCAAATAGCAGAAAACAATCGCAACTCCTCTCGCCCACACACACATACAGGGTGACAAATAATGGACGCTCCAATAAGAATCACTAATATCGTTGTTGAAGATGGGTGTATGAACTTCAAATTTTTTAGGGATACTCCGTAAATGCAGGAAAATTTTAAGCGCCAGTATTAGGCTTTTGTCCATTGTTGACGTTTTTGAGGAAATGGCAACCTACAGCATCGCACAATGAGTTTTCATGGTGCAACAATATTATTTAAGCCAAAGAAGTCCAGAGACTGTGAGACGGGCATTTTGTAAAGAGTTTGGAGTGAAAGATGGCCCAGTGAAGTGAAGTTTTTATCGATGGCAACGTCACTTCTGCGCGATATCTCGAGTGTCTGTCGCAGAATTTCATTCTAGTTGTACAGGGATTGGATCTTGTGCAAGAAAGTTGGTTTATGCAGGACGGTGCGAGACCTCATCGCACGCGCGAGGTGTTTGAGTTCCTCGAGGAGCATTTTGATGATCGGGTTATTGCCCTGGATTACAACAAAGGATCAGGAAAGGGAATCGACTGGCCTCCTTATTCCCCAGACCTCAACCCTTGCGATTACTTCTTGTGGGGTTGCCTTAAAGATAAAGTCTACGTAAACAATCCGAAAACCATCGAGGAGCTCAAGGAAGCCATCCAGATTGAAATTGAAAACATTTCCAATGACACCCTCGAAGCTGTTGCGATTACTTCTTGTGGGGTTGCCTTAAAGATAAAGTCTACGTAAACAATCCGAAAACCATCGAGGAGCTCAAGGAAGCCATCCAGATTGAAATTGAAAACATTTCCAATGACACCCTCGAAGCTGTCGTTCGGAATTTCGTTGTTCGACTGCATCGCATGATTGCAAAGAAGGGTACCCACATCAAGCATGTCATGACATAATCTCCCTAAGTTTAAGTTCACAATACCATTTGAATTTTCTTCCTAACTATTGTAGAATTCGAGAAATAAATGTTTATTTTGGGAGCATCCATTATTTGTCACCCTGTATGTAGAATATGATAAGAAGAGAAACAGCTGGGAGAGCTATAAACAGCCTGACCCATGGTATCCTGTGACCTATGGTGCCCCACTCTCCCCTACTTAATTTTTTACCAAAATTATATTCATGAACATGGATCCAGATTAAAATAATATTGGTTATCCCAATGGTTTTTAGCATTACTGCATTATTTCATTATTATGCACCACAAATATACATCCTATATAAGACCAGCTGAATCATGACTCATTAGTTAAGATTGGTTCAGTAGTTCAGTGGACTTTCAGTCCTACCCTAAGACTAGGGGTCTAGTATTTAAGACCCTAAAAGACTTAACTCTGCCATATGAATTCATCTGGACCTCATTTGTCAAAATCAGTTCTGGTAGTTTTTGCTCTAAGGTGAGCTGAATTTAGTTGCCAAAAAAGTGATTTTGGGACTTTGGCATGAGTGTGAAGATTACTTGTGGGATGGAATTTGAATGCAAAAGGCCTAATTTATATCATGATCCTTTAAATGATGAAGATTCTTAGGGATCTGATAAGCACTTTTGCACCTTATAAAATACCTTTGTCTTCATTCAGGTGGGTAACAAGGTGGTGTTCTTGAACAAGAGGGATGGGATGAAAGATCATTCTATGTTCTCACAACCAGGAACTTTCCCAAGACCAGATGGGTAAGTTACCACAATAATATATACAATAACTCATGGATGTGACAAAAAAGTCTATCTCTGGAGCTTAAATGTACAGTGTGTTCCAGAATTCCTGTTACATTTATATTTTTTCTGAGTGAGGATTTAATATGGTTTATGACCTCAAAAATTCATGTTTTTTTGTTTTGCATTCAACATATAATCTGAAAGTTGTCTACTGTTTTTGTTGCAAAGATGCTCTTTGCCTTATACCTTAGCTTCCACTAATAAAATTAAAATGACATGAATTCTGTGTCAGATTACATCCAAGAATTACAGTGACTTATTTGTTTCAGACACTAAATGAAAATGGTTCAGTTCAGTCAAAAAAAAAGGTCATGATCTGCTCTGTCTTTACAGTAGAAGAAAAAACAGGATATTCACAAATAACCAGTAGATGCTTGTAAACTGTATGTTTCTTTGTCCCATAAGACTTCTGTCTATTCACAAACTTGTGTGGGTGAATATTTTCCAATCAGACTACTCTGCATTTTGCAATTTCCCAGTAAAGTGAATGTGGTGGGTATACTTCCCAATAAAAATTGCTGGTCCTTTCTTGAAGTGGATATTAAGATGCAATTTAGGTGGTGCTATTTATAGAAAATATTCTGAAATATCAGGTAATGTAGAGTAATGTGACAAATTTTTTTTTTTCAAGGAAAACAAGCAATCAGAACTTTTTGATTGCAGTATGTCAGTTGGCCAGTGTAGTTCAGTTGTCAAACTGTCCACATTAATAACATCTTCATATTCATCTCTCTTATACTGGAAAGAAAATATCCTCAAAACAAATAGTAAAATGAAACAGATTCAATCAGTCCTGAATCAGCATTATATACATGTGCAACTAAGCAAGCTACAAGTATTATTTTTTTTTAAGTCAAAGGTAAAGACGTACTTCATAGTCAACATTACATCAAGATATGTTGCTGATCAGACTATGCAAAATGCTCTGTTGGTAAAATTGAGTATTCATGTCTATGACTTTGTCCTGACTTTTTCATTAGGGAACCACAGAATGGACGAGATGAAAATGTCAATGGTCGGAGAGGAGATTTGAGCAAGCCACGTGTTTTAAACAATGCTGAATCTCATAATCCTCCAGGAAACAGTGAGGACTCTTGCCAACCAAACTACAGTGATACAGGAATGCCTTCAATCCGCCCCAATGCTCGCAAAAATCGTGAAAGACAACTGGAAGCTTTGCGGAAGCTAGAAGAACGCCTTCAGACTCTTCGATCAGTGCCATCAACAGAGTCCAGCAGTTCAAACTCACGTTTACCTCAGTTTCCCAAAAGCCATGGGGAGCCCATGACATTACATATACTGGATGTTGGTCGTGCCATTAGTGATGGCATTGTGACATGGCTACCATTTCATGGCTTCAGAGATTTTCATTCATCAGCACCTGGTGCCACTGTGATGTATACTTTGTCTCTGGGATGCAATGAGCTTGTGATGTTTGGAGGTTTGCTCAAGCAGGAGGGCTTGACAAGAGATGAGGTGACCAACACCCTGCATTTCCTGGAAATGCCACCTAAAGTACCTTGAGCAGTCATATCAGGCATGTCCTACATCAATACTAAAGAGAACACCAAGACTGTGAAATTGAATGTCTTTATTTAGCAAAATAAAAATTCACTGAAATCTGAAAGACACAACTCAATCACCAAAGCAACAAAAAGTAAATACTTGAGATTTCAAAAAAAAAAGTTCACCCATAAATGTAATATAGAAGGCACTAGTGTCTATATGGCTGCAGATATCCCACTAACACCATCTATTTACAATTTTGTTGTTTGGATGAACCACACAAAGAATATTGAATGATGCCATTGCCTAAAAATTTTAGAATTGCTCTAATTGTGGAATATGACTGACATCATACTTTCACAGCACTTCTGAGGGTCCTGACTGTAAGGCTATGGATTGTTTCACACAATGCAAGCTCTTTTTTTCTCCAATTCATTCAGATGTATAGCACCGGGCAAATACTATGATGGAACAACCAGAGAGAATACTCTCAATTCACCATAGTACCTTTGAATACTGAAAATTCCTTAGGTGATGCTTGAATGAAGTGACTTCCCAACGGTTCTGCTGGGCAAGGAAGCATGGTAAAGTGTCATGATGCAAGCAATCATGGTTGGCATGTATCTTTCCCATATAGTCTGCAACCATCCATTTTCCCTACACCAGCAAGAGAAACACTTTCAGTAGCTCTCATGAAGAAATAATTGAAAACACTCTCTTTACTGCAAACTCTGATGATAAGAAAACGTTTGAACTCAGTTGTTTGAGGACTCAAAATTAAACAAAAATTGATGTGATTTTTTTTTAAACCTCAAGCACTCAGTTTTCTAATATCCTGGCATGAGACAAGTCTACATTAATGTTATAACTTCTCAGCTTCAGGGCCAGAACAGCCATTCTGTCCAGAATAATGTCATATTTCTGAATAGGTGACATCTTAGCAAAAGTAGCTTTTTTCCAGCCTATTTCATGTTTCATCACAAAGATACTTCAAGTGATGGTGACTGTAATTATGTGGATCAGATCACAAAATTTAAGAATGAGGGTCAATAAAGTCCATGAAAAAAATTGCTAAAACTAACTAAAGTCAACCATAATATTACAATTATTCCTTCACCATCCAAACAGGTAAAGTGTAACAGCATATGGTTCAGCTATCATGTGCATTATTGCTCTAGCTGAATTCAACATCTATCGTTAATTTGCTTCATGGCTGCTGTTTTACACAGCAGATAACCCATATTAGACTGCAGCATAAAGAACATACAATTCATGTGCATGTGAAGGAGGCAGGGAGGCACTTATATGATGCTAGCCAAGGCTCCAAAATATTGATGGCACATGAACACAACATCCAGTCTCTGACCAGCATATAACAGCCTGTTAATTGGTTACTCTGCTGATTTTTTTCATTTTTCAACATACATGATGATGTCAAGAGTGGCTTTTCACTCATATAAATCTATCCTTGATTTTGTGCCATAAAAAGTCAATATGAACCATCACAAGAAAGGTGCTTTCATGTGCATGGGTTAGCCAGCTTCAGTTGATACACTTCCAAGAGGGAGTATCCCCTAAGCTTCTTCTGACACCTTTTTTGGATTAGTTACTACAACCCCAGAAATCCAATGACACACTTGGAGTCAGCTTGTCTCATTGCATTCTCTCAAGTTGGTTTGATGTTACCATGGTATAAAGAACTTAGTACCATGGTCAAAGTTTCCCAAGTACCACACAGCCCAAGTTTTGAAAAGCCTTTTTTCCAATTAATAACTGATGAATCAGTATTAATTCAATCATTCATTGGAATCAATTCCAAGCTTCTTCAGATTTTCTCTTACTTATGTTGGAGTGGAGGCATGTGGAGTCTAGCCACTTTACAGAAAGTGAAGCCCCCTTTTCACTTCAATATCATTATAATAATCATTTGTAGCCTCGCTTCAATGGAATAAACTATGCTCAATTTTACACATCTGTTGAGAATATATCAGTCTATCACATTGCAAGTTTTGTGAAACCATCTCTGGTAAGAGCAAAGATACATAGGTCTGGGGGTCTTGCATAACCTTTTGCTAGGGGGGTACACCAATTATGTAGTATAAAAAATTGGGTGTTATACATATTTTAAAAGCTAATTTTATTCTCATTTCATATTTGTCATTGAAAATTATAATTGCTGGGATGGTTGGCGATGATGAAAGGTAACATGTGATAGACTGCATTCAAGAATATGCCTATTGAGAAGCAAGGGAAGCAGGCACAATGTTATCAATTGAAAGTGAATATCTCACCACTGAATTGCAGTGAGAGATTAAGTCACTGACAACTTAAACAAAGGATACGAATCTTGTTTTACGAAATTTGATGATGGCAGACCAGAAAAATTGTCTGAAGTGAGCAAAAACAATGTGATGGAGAACAGTGGGAAAAGACAAAGAAAAAAAGCTGCAGTCGAGTTGCAAAAATAATTTCAAAGTGGTGTGGAAAGCTAATCAGACAACAATACTGTATCAAGAAAGGGATGAAGACTTTAAGGAAATAATAGAAAATATGATGATTAGTGAGCTTGGTTCTGACCAAAATTCTGAAGCAGTTGTCCTACAAAACCTCCAAAATGTTATTCATGAAATGGAAAATTAAACATAACTTTTTTGAAAATTTGTTGAAATTATACCCTCAACATTTCAGGGCTGTACATGAAGCCAATGGCAGTCACAAAAAATACTGATGTATTATTGCATTCAGGTTGAATAAAGGTTTAAATTGACATATAACTTACAATTGTTCTATTTGTACTTAAGGTTATACCCCCCTAACAAAAGGTCATGCAAGACCCTGTATACTGTAAATAGGCACCCAAATAACCCAGACAAAATAAAGGGTGGATATATTCTCTTTCACATGGTGTAATATCATCAATTTAATTTTGGACTAAAATCATTGGCCATAAGCTGTCATTGATCTCCACCCATATATGTTCTTGTGAACTAAACAGTTCATGTGGCGAGGAGGGGGCATTGTGGATGTTCCATTTCCAGCTAAGGAGTATTGAATTTATGTGCTGGGGTCAAATGAAATCATTTGAATGGGAGAAATTTCAGTAATATTTATAATAACTTGTACAGATGTGAAAAACCTTTGGATACCAGCTCAAACTCAGGTCATAAGTCTATACATGACATGGATTGGACTATGGGATCCTGGACTTTACATTAAAAAGTTACAGATGTTTACAAATAATAAACTAGTTACAACTGAGAGATGCAGGATATGGAGGGAGACTCCACATGGAGAGCAAACCATAAAAAATGAGGGGAGAGTATCTTCCTGCAAAAGTGACAGGAAATAAGCACAAGAACAGGAACAGCATTGAAAAAACTCACTTCTTGAGTATTTCCACCTGGAGAGCACCTTCAGAGTATGCCATTAAGAATGGTCCAAGGTTTTCACTGCTCCATTTTGCAGCCTTCAAAGGTTCAACAATCTTCTCCACCACATCCACAAAAAAGTCCCTGAGCTGGGAGGAAACACTATATCATCAGAATATACAGGTCCTCACCAAATAATTATGGTTACTCTCACTCTGCATCCAGTCAGACCAATCAGGACAGGTCTGCTTAATGCAAAATCTGTTCAAATTTTTTCTCACCCTGCAACACACAGGTCAGGATGTCTGGATGCATAGATATTGGTGTTCACTTATCAAGAGCAATGAAACAATAAGGAATCTGTGAAGGGCACGAGTCCATTACCAATCTATGATGATGTCCAAAGAAACAGTCACAGCAATTCCAGTTATCCTTTTGACCTGTTGTCAATATGACAATGTGTGGATGGAGTGCATACTATGAACTAACAAAAAAAATTACAGTATGCTCTACTTTAGAGCTCCAGCTGGCATGGTCAAGTCTGATTTGATCTGATGAAAGGTTTAATGGTAAAAAGGAGGCAAAACAAGCTGAGTTACCTCTCGGCCATGCAGGAGACCCATGGCAATTGAAATGACCCCCCTATTTAGAGTTTTGAATGAGCTCTCTGCATCTGGAACAATGGCATCATGACCAGCTTTCTTCAGTAACTCCTGAGTGGCACTGGAAAGAAAAAATAATGACATCAACATCCATGTGTATATCAGCACACTGAAGTCCAAAGCCTATTGTGGGATATGATCATTATTACTGACAAATACACCATTCAAAGAAAAACTAAGCACTCTCCCTGAGCTGGAGTGTATATTGTCCTCTCTTTCCTCATCCATTGCTTGAAATTCCATGCACCAATCACAGTTTCCCTACAGTTGGAAGGTCACTTAGTTCCCCTTGATTTAGGATATAATACACGACAACTCATGTAGGAGTTTTGATAGGGTGACTAAGGAAAAATGGGCAGGGAATCATCCTGTCCACTATCTCTCCACCACTCTTTTATTTTTTAATGGTGTATTTATGGTGCCAACCATAACCACAACCAAGGCTCACCTGCGATGCTCCTTCTCCTTCTCTTGGAGGATTTTCAAGTCCCGAAGTTCTTGAAGGAATTCCCTATCCAATTCAAGATCGGTGAAGTCTGACCGACTTTCAGATCCAATGCTCACCCATGAAGCCATCATGGCCCAAGCACATGTGACAAAATCATCAAAAGACAAGCAGGCCAGCTTACGTTTGTTGGTTTCAAATCTGTTATTGCACATGAAAACCATAGCAGCATATTTCCTGAAAATCAAACAAGACAAACATGTTAAATGGGTAAAGTATCCATCATAATTTCTGGATGAGTCAAAAACCATCTCACTTGGCTAGGCTCTCTGGCAAGCAAAAATTTTGCTGGATATTTCTTGTGGCCTGCCCAGGCATTTCTTCTAAATATTTGAATATTCTCTTTACGTTATCAAACTGTCTCCTGTGGAAAGAGGAAAGAAGCAAGAGAAGAATGAAGTGACTTATTATGCCTGAGTAACATTAATCTTATCATCTTATATCATGCAAGTGTCATAAGCCAGGCCAAAAATTTGGCTTAAGAAAGCAGCATGGAGTTAAGATAAGCTTTCAACACTGTTGACAGAGCTAGGAATGTTTGCCTCATCAATTATATGATCTGCAAATTTAGCATAGGCCTATAACAGGTATGGAAGGATGTCATTGAAGGAGAAAGAGCCTGTGTGTTCACTTGGCAACTGTACTAATGAATTAAGATAAAATGCCATCTGTCCATAAACCTCTTGTATCCAGTTTCCATAATCTGAATTCCTAGACCAATGGGAAATTTCAAAAAGGTTGCAGTTTTAACAGAAGTGGTATCTTTTCAAGTATGTAATAGCAAGTCAGCTTCCATGGCTGTAAGTTTCAAAACTGGTTTACTAAAAACTAATGAACATCTATTTAATACATGTTAAGACCAATAAGAAGTATGATGGACTGACCTACAGGATGTAATTGATACTCCAGTCTTCTCACAAACTTCATCTAGATCCTTCCGATTGCGAGAAGATAACTTCTTTCCCAAAATTTCTCTCATCACAAGGTCATGAATGCTATAATACCTGAAATTCAATGAAAAGAACAACTATGGCACTAGAATCTCAATTTAGGTATCATTATTCATGTTCAATTATAAAAATTAGAATTTCAAATTCTTGCTGAACACAGAGCCATGCTCAAGATTTACTTGAAACAGGGGAGGATTTTATCACTTACTGAGGAAATAATTAGAACTTGATACAAATCACCCATCAAAAAGTAAAGTATTTCTAGTCCACGAGATCTATGTCTACAGTCAAGTTTTCCTTTATCATAAAATGAGAATGACAAATTAGTGCAGACAGTACAAGAGAGGGTCAAATCTTTAACTGAATGTTAAAGGTCAGCACATTGAAAAACAGGCCCTATTCAATGTTTTTTGCATCCTATCAAGGTTTTAGCAGATCCATCCTTGTAGAAAGGCTCTGGTGCAAATCAATCTGATTAAATCAAATAATTGCTTTAATGATGTGGTTTGCAAAATGTTCATACCAAAGGCAACAGGATCTAAGACATGAGTCCACTTCTTTTTTTTTTTTACCCTTTCAGACCTGAATTAAGACCACTATCAGAATAATATAATTTTTTTGCATTTTTGAGCTCATTTGCTATTTTGATTTAAATTTGTATGTTTTATATATCATTCTTATATTTTGTATACATTTACTATATCACACCATATATAATATATTACACATTTAATTACATAATTGAAGATGACTAAACTGACGGGTGAAAGAAGGCCTCTGATGAAATTGAGTCATGCATAATTGAGGAGTTCTCTGGAAAAAGGGCATATGCACAAAGGATGCAATTCGAGATAAAAGATAAAAACTTCCCATAACTAATCCGAAGCTGTTCAAAATTTAATTCTCAGTAAAATGGAATCTCATACATTTTTCAAAATGAACTTAGGGTTTTAATTCATTTCTTTATCTCACATTGCTAGGATGCAGGCAGAAAAAGTTTATGCACATACACCCTTTTTCCATATCCGCACTGCTGAAACTTTTTCCAAAGAGTCTTTCACCACTTCTTTCCCACTAAAAATAATATTTAATCAATAAATGCATCGATAGATTTTATATAAACTCTTTCTTAAAGAATAGCAAGAAAAATATGAATATTCAGGGCACGTTTCATTCGCCAATTTCTCAGCAGTGATCCAGTATTAATGAATTCATTATCTGAATCTGCAACTATTTCATGAATATCTCTAACTTCTCATATCCTTCCAGAGGCTTGAATGACTGGGCCTCTCTCTTTCCCTATCCTTGCGTCTGTTTTCTCCCTCATTTTCATTTTCAGTTGAAAAGGACAAAATAATTCCACCAAAATAATTCATCATGTAAGTGCAAATGGAATATTCATGGAGGCAGCCATATTGAATTTGCCAGGCATTGGTCTGCTATATAGTGAGGGCAAAGGAAAATCTGCTTCTCCTTTGCTGAATACTCATCTTAACTACTTGCTGACCACCCTATCTGATGACAAGTCATCTAAAGCTGCACATGGACACAGATATGGAAAAAGGGTGTATGGGCACATACACCCCTTTTCCAGAGAACTCCTCAATTGTGACCATTATAGTGTAATATGGGGCACAAAGTCATGAGAATCCCAATAAATTACCATAGACACAATGAAAATGCAATGTCCATTGGAATGGATGCCAGGTTTGAAAGGGTTAAGTCAAGGAACTTAGTGCATTAAAATGACACAAGATTAGCCCTTTCAATTATTGGCTATTTGATTGTGGCTTGTATAGACCTCCTCTCACTCCATTAATATCCAGAATATTAACCTGCATCTAAGAATTTCTTCCAAGCTCTCCCATATGGAAAAATCATATATGATTTTATAAGAAATGGGCATATGTGATATATGGGACATACATGGTCTATCACAGTGGTTCTGAAATTGTGGGTTGCAAGAGGCATTAAGATGGGTTGAGTACATTTTCCCAATATAAAAAATCACTACTTCTGCATCCACTCAGGAAAAAACATGCCCTGCAGCAAAGGTCGATCAATTCTCTTTGCATCATAATTGATTTGATAATACCTTGTTCTGGATTTCAGTAGGTCGCAACATTTTCTGTATGTCAGCAAGTGGGTCACAATTCAAAGTCTGGGAACCACTGGTCTATCATATATGATATTATATGAACATATATGGGAAAATATATCTGATTATATATTGCTATTGAAACAATGAATGATCATGTATGGCAAGACCATATAAGAATTTTATATAAAAAAAGCATGTATGTAAAAGATATGGTGGAGCAGATAAGAAACTTGTATGATTTAATATGTTTATCCAGTATATGGTGAGGCATATATGTCACACCTGATAAGATACATGACCAAATCAGGTATGAAACATACATGAAATCATGACACTCTTGCAAGTCTCTCCCAAATGTCAAAAATGACTTCTGAAACTAAGATGAGAATTGGCACTTCATTTGTTACTTCTATGAAAATACAAAAACCATTCACTAATGTGCTGAAAATGAAACATGTTGGAATAAATGAACAAAGATATCCATATCAATTTCAAGTTGTACAAAGTTTTTTGACTGAGAAAACTTTGTACCTGTACCATCAATCAGGATCTGTGAATTAGTCATTCTAATCAGGGAAGAAGAAAATATTAAAAAAATGAAAAAGTAAAATCACAGTAGTTTCTTCACATTCCTGCCATTCAGAATTGGTTTAATGTGTACTTCATAATGGGAATCATGAAAATGGCCCAATTGTGTAGAAGCCTAAAGCCTCTGAGTGTCATACTTTTTTTTCAAGTCCTACAGTTCCATAACCATACAGTGTATTAATATATACTGCCTTTCAAAACATGGTATAAGTAATTAAGTAATGTATGGCTTCATAAGGAATTGCATGTAAGCCATTTTGCAGGATTATAACCACCATTAAAAAGAGCAGCAAAACCCTTCCAGCATGAAGCATGCAATACTTGTAAATTATATATAAAAAGGCCACAAAGTAATTGTCTTTCATACCATCTAAATTATATATCCCAAATGCATATGGTACAATATACATTTCCAGCAATACATATTTTTTAAATTAAAGCATGCATGCTGAGTGTATATTCACAATATATGGAAGTTCTTCATAAAAACCATATACTTAAACTAGGTGTATCATATATGCAGGAGTCCATCCCTCAAATTGTATAATTCTTTTATACAGAACATATATGTTGCCCTGGTATGTTTAATATATGAATAATCCTTACATGGATCATATGCTTCAACCATATATGCCTGTATATTTCAATACATTATAAATATATTAAATTATAAGGCATAGATAATTGCATATAACTACCATATATGATCTTTACATATGGGTTAGGCAGGGGTGCACAACTTGAAAGACTGTGAGGGCCACTTACGATTTTATTCACCTACCACAGGCTGCAACTACTCCTATGACTTACTTCAAAAGCTGTGGCCAACAAGGCAGGAGCCATAGTAGCATAAAGCCACCAGTCATGGCATGCCACAGGAAAGGGCCTTGCAGGCCACATGCTGCCCACTTGCCATATTTTGTGCACCCCTGCTCTAAGCTCAAGGCCAGACTTTTACTAGGCTAATCCAATGTTTTAGATTTTTTTGGCTGTTTTTTGTGCTAATCAAAAATGTGATTTGATGGATCTTTTCAATTACAACTTTTCTAATGTATACTTCTTTTACCTGAAGGAATATGACTTAGGATATCATTTCTTATGTATATGGTTCTTTCAATTGCTCATGTCTCAATCAGTCTAGTAACATTTTACTCATGTTCCAAGTTGATGACCTCTCTAGGCCACCAGATTTCTCAGCAAATCTAAGTTCTTACTATTGTAGAGTCTTTAACTGTTTATAATTGCTTCCCTTCTTCACTGGATTTTTAACCCAACATAGCAGCAGCACATCATGGAAATGTAGGCCTAAGTCATTCGAATTGGTCATTTCAGGCTATACCACTCATAAAGGCATCATTCAGTAAGTTGTACAAATACCATCTGACTGTACCTTTCAATGACACAGCTCTGGGTATCTGGATGCAGCTGTAATGTCCATTGCTCTATGAGCTGCTTAGGAAAGTGGAGACTTTGCTCCAGTACTGCAAAAAGATGATAATGATGATTGACATCTGCAATAAGCATATCATAGGATGCTCCAAATTCCTGCATCAGCTCTGGATCTTCCAATTGCTTAGCTGCATCCCCAACTGGAAAATCAAAACTCACACACGTTAAGACTTATTTGGGTACACATACCTAGTCCAGCAAGAACCCTTATTGCCTTGCAAACAATGATGCGAAAGCTACTTCAAACCAATCCTCACCTTCACGACCATCAATCCACATCTGGAATATTTCTTCATCGATGACAACCTTATTTTCCACAAACACATCCAAATCAGGCGGGCAGCTTATAGCCATCACAGTTATAAAATTGATATATTTTTCACTCCAAATTCGAAGAACAGCTCAATCCGAACTTGAAAAGAATGACCCGCCTCACTTTTGGTATTTTCTGCTGATCCTGGCTGCGGCCATAAGGAGCTGATTTTTGTTACGTCACGCTGGCTCCATGCGTGCGCCTAATACAGTTTTCGGATTAAATTCGTACGTATACCGCCACCCCCTGGGTAGTGGTGAATGAAGTAAGCACTACTTCCATTGGATCGATTCAGACGATCTAAAAAAGATCGTCTGAATCATCCTTGTGGAAGGTGTCACTATCAGCAATAGATGGAAGCGCTCTTAATGGGGCTACAATTTCATTCCGAAAACAGTGGAACTCTACCTTAACGTATTGAGGAGTGAATTTGGTGTTTTAATGTTTGGTGGGAATGGTACATTACTGCCCTTCCCGAGGAAGGTTACTCGGATTCTGTGTTCATAGATGAGTGCAAGGACAAAGGTTACGTAGTCAAGTGCAAACAAGGCTACGTATACGATAAGCCATATCAAATCTTGAAGATACAGAGAAATTAAAGCGCAATGTTTGAACCCGTACATGTACGGTCGTACTCCGTAACATGTTAAAATTAATCGGAAGAAACTAAAATTCATCAGAAAGTTTGGTGGGGAGATGGCACCGATACATAAACTTCAGCGCCATGTTCTCTGCAGTATATATGTCGTCGATTTAGTGCTTTTCACTTGAGTTAGACCATTTTTAACTTGACTCAGACACACGTGCAGGGGACATTCCTAATGCATGAGTGTCGAAGTCAAGTGAAAAAGTGTCGAACTGAAGTGAAAAACACTGTATGTGAAATATAAGGAGATTTTGAAATTCCTTTTTGGGAAACAGAATTTCGATAAACCATGGATTTATTGATATCGCCTCAATATGTTACCGTATCCAGCAGTGAAAGTCGATCTGTTAAAGTATGGGAACAGTAAGAACGAAGGCGTGACGGATTGAACCTAGGGTTGCCATCTATGAAATTAGCAAAATATGGACATACTGTCTGTAGACATGGAAATATTGACATATATATGAAGTATACTTGCTCTTGTGACTCTGCTACAGCCACCTTTAGCCAAAGTACCAATTGATGCTATAAGAGTGTGACATACTACTCTGGCTTTGAGGAAAAGAGTGATTTTAGCTGTTATTAAGTTTTATTAGCTAATAAATCTTAACAGGTTTAAAGTATGGATGAAGTAGTGTCCATATTAGGACAAGTTTGGAGTATGGACATTGCATCTGAAATATGAACTGTCCATACTAACTATAAACGGGTGGCAACCATAGTCGAACCCCCCCCCCCTCAATAATTTTCGTAGCTTTCCTGCAAGAAGTGTGGGAACAGCGTTCCCACTCCCTCTCATAGAGCTTTTGGAATCGCTGTTCCCATTCGTTCCCACTTTTTTTCACCTCCTACTAAGGAGTTCCAAACCATCCGGTTTTATTCGAATTTCATCTTAAACCAGTCAAAATAAATATTTCAGTATTCCTTGTAGCGTAGTCAAATCGAAGTCAAGTAACAACAGAAAAATAGAAGTCCCCACCCCATCTTTTTTTCATAGGCAGCACTTGTTCCTTACGTGACACCTCGTACTTGCAGATCGCAACCAGTCATAGCCCGTGGCGGGACAAGCCGAATAGTGGGAATGACAATTTTTGTTCACTGAGATTTAGCATCTCCCTAGGGAATATTAACATTCACATTGAATTGAGATGAGTTCAATTAACCAGCAAGTTATCGAAATTCTGAATCCCATTAAATCCCACAAGAATCAGTCCTCCTAAATTTCGCAAAATCCTTTTACGACATATACCCTGTACATTTGTGACATCTCCTTATGAAGCTTCCAAATTACTATTTTACGGGTTTGAGACTAATTCCAAATTACGCAGTTCCTGAAAATAAACATTTAAAAGATTATCCATTAGACTAATTTCAAAATTATATTGTTACTAATTATTTTCCTAGAATGACATGACGGAAAAAGTTAGGGTCTTGAGTGGAGAGCTCAAAGGCTCCACATTGGAATCACTTCTGTTTCTCGTTTACATCGATTTACAAGCCTCGCGGGAAAATCTGTAAATTTGCCGAAGACACAGATAAAATTTTCTCCCTTACCCGGGTAGGAGGATGGCGAGAGCCGGGAGGGACTTGCAGCTTTTGCACGAGAGAAGTAAAACCTGGCTCATTGAGTTGAATCAGCGTAAAAGTATATTTCTTCCCATTGACCATGACACTGAGTCTCTCAATACGTTTTGCAAGGATAGATTTGGGGAAGCGAATGAGGAGAGACATTAAAGCGTTATCACTGATGAAGGACAGATTCACCGAAGACGCACAGGGGACAGTAGCTAAATATAACAGAATTTGAGACTGCACTCGGCATTCCGTTGCCAGAGGAGCTCACGCGATTTTCTCCTATCGTGTACGAGGTTGGCAAGGTTCCATTTAGAATATTTTGTTCAGATACAGAGGCTTTCTAATCGGCGGCGCAGCGCTGGGGGGCCAAAGGGGCCACGTGTCCCCCCCCCCCCTCACTTTTCAAAGACACAAAGGAAAGGAAAAAGACGCATGAAATGCATAATAACAGTGTCCCAGAGTTCCCATGCCCCCACCCCCCTCCCCACGCGCACACACTTTTTCCATCCACGCAACGCTTATATTTCTAATAAAGGAGATTCCTCCTCTGAGCTGAAGAGGGTTTCCAATATATTACTTTTTATACCACATATGGCATGGCATTTGAGAGACGGTTTCACTTTGGAACAATGGTTGCTCGATTTGTGCTTCTATCTAGGGGCAGAAATAGGAACTGTAAGGGTTTGATGTTGCAACTGACCGGTGGCGTCCCGTGCAAAGGGCGGCACCCCTGCCGCGAGCCGCCACTCGTCGAAGATTCCACGGAGTCTTTCTTTATGCTTCTTCATGCGAATGAGATACAAATGATAGCCCGAGCGGTCCTAATCACTGCGAGGGGATAGATCAGTCATAAAGTCATGATCGTCGACTGATGAATGACTTCGATTTCAGCGTCGGACCAGTGGGGAGAAAAAGCCCTGGTCTATGCTACCCCGCACAGCCGGGAACGCCCGAGCCAAGCGAAGCCCTTCACCGCCTTTCCAACGCATGCGCAGTTTGGGCCATTTATAATATTCATTCTTTCACTCGCATTAAGCTCTCGCGCGTGGGGCGCTGTGAGAAAGACGCCGGCGTAGCCGAGCCTGCCGGCTTGCTTTGTTCTCATCCCCTTCCCACGCTTATCTCCTGTGATTAATTTCTTAAATCTCGTTTATTCGTCACCGATGATATCTGTGTAAAGTTTTCACACCCCGTTCGGAAAGCTAACGTCAGCAATTCCTGCATGCTAGTCCTACCGTAACCATAATTACTAATGAAGAAACCACAGAGCAATATCGTGATAGTCTTATCAAAGTCGTTAAGAGTGGAATTAGCAAGAGGCAACTACTTCGCATTCTTCTATTTGTATTCCGTGAGGTTTACGTCTTCATTTCTTCATGCAAGTTTTTTTTTCGGGAAAAATGACCCGCTTATGATTATCACAGCAATGTGGCATTTGCAGTTCCGCAAATGAGATATTCATTATCTTCTTTACTATTGTCATAGTACAAATACATCGCAAAAATTCGCCCTCTTCCCAACAGCCATCTGACAGTAACATTAACGATGCGTAAAATATTTGAAATAATTCTCATAGGAATTTGAAGGTCAAAGGTTTATTGACCTTGAAGTGGTTCAAAGACGGGCTGCTAAAATGAGGGAGGTACGGTGGGGGGCTTCCTTAACTGCGGCGTGGAGACATGTTGAGGCTGTATTCACTGGGAAAAAGTTAACAAGAGACTTTTGACATCATTAAGGACATCGATAACGTGGAGGATTTTTCAAACTCGATGGCAACAGGAGAGAGTGAACAAATTCAAGTCACGTGAACCTCAAGTGACACTATGGAATTAGTTTTTTAATTGTCGGATCGTGAATGTGTGGGACGCGTTCCATGAAGATGTAGCGGAGTGTAATTTCATTGGTTAGCAATACAAAGGGGTTAGACGTGCGAAGATATTAATAAAGAGAGGGGTAGGTCTTATCTTCCATGAGCGCTCGACCTTGACACGGGGCGTTTCCATGTGCTGAAAAGCCTCCTGACACCCCTTGTCGAACCTTGAATCAGGTTTCTTATAATGCCGAGTGCGTTCGAGATGCAAGTTGCCGAGAACTCGGTGCGACATGAGTCTGTTTTCTATTCGCCCATTCCGTTCGATGGCCACTGTCAGCCCATGAGAATCAGAACTGCCAGATTGTGAAGCATGAAAATAATCAATCCAATAAATATGCAGAGCTAAGAAAAAAAGAAACCTCATGCAGCTCCCAACCTCCTCAGATATAAAGACGGCTCCGGACTGCTATTCAACTCCGCGTGCATTCATGCCGCACCCCTGGGGTTCTAGATCTGCTTTTTTCTCTCTCTCAAATAACAACCAGATGTTTATGACTTTAGCTTATCACCAGGCATTTAGTTTCCCTGCGGATTGAAGAGCCACTCATAAAGTATGCCAATAAAAAAAAGGCGTCTAAAGGAAAATAAATTCCACATCTACAGGAAAAAAAAATCTCCAATTAGTTCATAAAAATTGTCAATCGCCAGGGCCCTTATATTAACATTCCAAAAAATCGCCAAACCTTGCGGTACGAATAGGGATGACTAATAGGAGCTTGGCGAAAGTGTCGTCACCCAGCCTGTCGACTTGGATTGCAAAAGCACCCAGTCATCGATCGAGTCCACGAAAAGAAAGTCCCCCAAGACTAATATATCTACATGTGAATGCGATGGAAGGGGCCTATTCTTTTAGCGTCCTCTGTAGGATTCTTCTGAATAAACTCTGCGACCCAACTCAGAGATAGCATAATCCCTCGAGATACGTCTTTATCACGTCACGTAATGCCAAAGTATATGAACTCATGCTCTTTTGGTGCAGTAGAAGTGAAGTACTAAATGCGATGCACAATGCGAAAACGGAATATTCTTTTGTTCCTAGCGAGTTTAGATGCATGCGCGGGAACTTTGTGCTCGTGTAACGGTCGTCAAATATGACGGAGAGGGAAGGGGAGACGCGTACGTGATGGTTTTGCTCCAGGCGAAAGGTCTCTAAATGCCAATTTCGTAGGGTTCATGCTTGCATGTCCTGGAGCATTCCCTATGATAGAAATCGGATCCCTTTCGGAGCATGAGTCTAGATCTCAATCTTACAAACCCTCGTAGAACTCGCATTCATGCTCCGTGCTCGCTATCGAAATGCGAAAACTGCGACGAGACTTGTCGTTTGCCGATGCTGACGCTGTTGGATTATTGATTTCCTGGCATGTGTATTCCGGGGCACCCAGCTGGATCACCTGTTCGTGAAAATAACGCGAAATGCGAGCTAGATATGCGATTTTCTGATGCAGATACGGAATAAACGTGACAGGTTGCGTAGGACTATACCGTCTCTGTGACAGAATGAGTGAATGCTAGAGCATGTAAGCTGGTGGAAGGCATAGGAGTTAGAGAAAAGAGAGACCAAGAAGAGCTTCGTCTAGAGGGGAATACAATGGATGGCTTCCTATTGGCCACGGACCAGGCGGCAAATCAATTCAGCCAATGGGAAGTCCTGGAATAGAACGCTTCTATGCTCCTCCCAGTCTTCTATAAGATGGCCGTGGCCGGTTCATTGTTCTCGATCTCTTCTCATATTCCTCTTTCAACTGGATTTGCTACAAAGTCGCCGAAGATAAGTGACTTTTCGCTAAACCAAATCGTGTTCCTCGAATATCGTTCTGTGATATTCTGGTTTCCTATGGTTCACGTGAACTCTAGTTTTGGCGATTTTGCTTCTCGAAAGTTGCATGCGTTCTCAATCATATATATATGAAGCGACGCTAGGAGCATAGCCGACGCCTCCGACGTTGAAGCTCCTCATTTGAGGTCCTCATTGGCGAAGGGTGACAGTGAGTGTCGAAAAACGTGTCTTATAAGCACTTGGGAATGTATGGACTTAAATAGTCCTTGAAAAAAACGGACGCAGGAGCACCCAGGAGCAGGGAATTGGAACAGCGCGGTTTCTCCCCTCAGTGTCGGATGGAGCGTTCACTGGAGCGGGTGGGGTGTGCGGTGTCTTTGTTCAAGGAAGAAATTCGGACATTTCGAAATTCAATGTGCATCACATCTTATCTACGCAATGGAATTGTTCTTGCGTTGAGGATGATTTGCACAGGATTTTGAAATCGCTATGGTCTTGGCCTGTGATGCGAGGAGCGTGCCCAGGTTCAGAGCATCTTTCTGCTGCCTGATTTTTTTAATACTAATTTTGAGCTATTTTCCTTTTATTTTGTATACTTGATGGGCCATTGACTTTCTATTCAAATCACATTGGTGTTTCTAGGAAAAGTGGCTTGAGATCTATTCTGTGGTGGAACGTTCAAAAAAGAGCGTCTAGAAATGCTATTCTTAAGGACCCTATCTTATTTCTTTTTGGCCTGGAAATTAATTGAGTTATTTAAAGATGGGCATAGGCCTACATTTGAAAAAAATTAAATCCTTTTATTTTTTAGCTGACTCCAACACCAAGGCATTGGAAGAAGTACATTAGTCTAGAAGGATGTTAGAGTGATTTGGCTAAATGTTGAGTGTTAAGTCATGAAAAGCAGTTGACTCAAATTAGATGTAGCTTGCCAGGTTTGCTTGATGGTTCACAAGATGGGTTGGTGGTTCTAATTACTTGCTGATGAGTCAAAGTTCTCTTAGGCAGTTGCTTCCATGTTAATTATTGATCTACTGAGGGGCAAATGAACAAAGGATTTTTGAGATATTTGTACAATAACAGCTGCAGTTCAGCTAAAACAATGGTCTTGTATCAGACTTGGGCATTGTTTGGAGGTTTACTAAATTAAGTGATATCTGGTTAACTTGCTCCAGTCTATAATACTTGATGGGAATGATTTATTTTTCTACCATAATAGGAGAGTGACTATTCCTAACTGTATAGGAATAGTTATTCTCATAAAGAGGGAAAGATTGAAAAAGTGTACTTTGCCAACCAGGAAGGAGCAGTAGAGCCTATCTTATATTCAACTGTGGGAATAGCTCCCCTTCCTCAAGTATCTTCATAGGGCCTGTAACCTTTCTTGTAGAATATCCTATTGATACATGATAGACCTACCGATTATGGGTGTCACATCTAAATTGGGTCTAGTGGTTAATTCACACTGCCATGCTTTAATTGCAACCTATGGGACATAATTTACAAATGTTACACTGCATAATGTTCTGTATTTACTCAGGTCATGATACTTCTGCATTGTGCTTAGTGAAGCAGATCATTTGCCGAGTTGAATGCAAAGCAGATAATTCAAAAGTTTGCTTGCTTTTGGACCATCTGTGATCCCCATCCGGTTTGAAGGTGGATCTGTATCAGTTTTATAGAAGAATGGCCGAGAGTTACCATGACCCTCACTACCAGCTAGCAGCTGCAGCTGCCGCTGCTGGAGTGGGTGCGGCACCAAATGGAACTGGAGATGACAGGTAAGTTGCATTGTTCTCTCCAATATTTACACATCAAATTTCAAGATTAGCAATGTAGTTGCTTTGAATATGGTACCATATCCATTTATGGAAACCTGATCTCTAAGCAATATGCTGTTAAGATTTTTTATCCAAAATTTCTGTTAAGGAACTCATTAGTTCTCACATCTCACCTCATATGTAACAAAAGAGATGTTGAGTGGATTGAGGTGTTGCAACAAATGTGCAACTTGTTCAGATCTCTGAGTCATCTGCACTGTTGAAAAACCTGCTGTGTATTCTAAACCTGAAACAGTTATAATGCATTTTGAGGGTCTCAGAAATTCATGAATTAATGTCTTCCTCTTCATTTAGTTCACTTGGAAGACACATGAGAAGCCTGTACTAGTTTTGTGATCATGCCATTGGCATATGAAAAGTGTACATATCCTACTGCTTGGTCCAAGTTATTGGCTGTTGCCCAAAGTCAGGTTGGCTAGTCTGCTGTTGGGGTGAATATGCAGTACTGAAATGATTTTTTTTTTTCATAAGTTTTTTTTTCAATTGACTGTTTTCTTACAGATCCTTACAGATTCAGCGGGACCAAGTATGTGATAGCTTCTTTGAGGGTCTCTGAAAAGGGGCTGTGACAGACCGCAGCTGAATGTTGCAGTCAGACAATGCCATTCATTTTGAGGTCTCAGAACTGCTTCAGGGTCTGCTGACTTTAAAACAAAACTGGCTGATTGAGAATAATGTTGGAACATTCCATGTTTCACTTGATTGTATTTTTCAAGTGTGTTCAGACACAATTTATAAATCACATGGGTGAATTAATGATAAGAGCATTGCCAATACATAACATGTTGGCTTTAGCTGGAGAAAGTGCGTTTGTAGAGGAAAATCCATCTCCACAGCTTGTGTCTTCATTTTCTAGTTATACATAACATTAAGTAAAAGGCAGTTTTCAGGAGAACTCATTTATTTAAATGCCATTGCAGCCTAATAGGTTATTAGCCAGAAAAAGGAATAAACTCTGAACCAACTATGCATACCCATGTATTGGGATATTGCCTCTTGTAGTTCCTCACTTGCTTCTTATTTCCTCCTTCTGCCATAGTAGTACAGTGAGTTACATATTTAAGAAAAACATCTGCCAAGTCATGAATGTTCAACAAGGTGATGGGGAAGTTGATGAACACATTTTTTTAAAGCTTTACTGCTATTTCTAAGGAAATCTTTACCATCTTGGTTTTTTTAACTAGCATGTCACAATGTGGCAAATAATTTGAAGGCTCCATTAGAGTAGCAGTGAAGTTTTCTCTCATTGAATAATGTTTGACAAAACATTTAAATATATTGTTATTCACAATTCAACCAATAGATGGGAGGTATAAACAGTAAGCAATAGTTATCATAATTTGATGATTATTGCTTGCCATTTGAAAGAAGAGACATGACTAAATTCAAATTTGGTTCATGGCAGGGTTTCCAGATTTTAAATATACCAGTGTTAGGGCTGTCCAAAGATTAATAATTGTACTCAGAGCAAGTGCTTCAAAAGTATGTCAATCTTTTCAAAGCCAAACCAGAGTTCCCCTTATTTCCCCAGGAACACATTATACAGGATGTCCCATTTATATCTGACACATTTATTTTTGTAATTAATTGGGACTGAATAAAATAAAGTAATGCAAGCTGTTATATCAAAGTAAAGTACAAATATGGGGGATTGTCACACTATCACAGGTCTACATCTTAAAAATTAAATTCTTTAAATGCTGTCTTTCATAATTTATGCATTCCTTGCATCAAACCATTACATTATTCATTACTCTAATCAGTGTGTCTTCACCAATAGCAGCAATGCGTTCATTAATCATGATTTAAAGTTCGTTTCTACTTCTGGGATGTGTCTTGTAAACTTAGCTCTTCAATAATCCCCAGAGAAAAAAATCTGGTACAGGATTTTTACATTTTTTAGGCAACAGCTAGGGGGAAGGATAATTTCTGGGTTCAGCACTGTTTCATGGCCATCCTGATCCTCAGACCTGTCTGCACTGGATATTTTTTCTGGGGATTATTGAAGAGCTAAGTTTACAAGACACATCCCAGAAGTAGAAATGAACTTTAAATCTTGAATAATGAACCAATTGCTGCTATTGGTGAAGACACACTGATTAGGGTAATGAATAATGTAATGGTTTGATGCAAGAATGCATAAATTGTGAAAGATAGCATTTAAAGAATTTAATTTTTAAGATGTAGACCTGTGATAATGTGACAATCCCCCATGTTTGTACTTTACTTTGATATAATAACAGCTTGCATTACTTTGTTCAGTCCTGATTTATTACAAAAATAAATGTGTCAGATATAAATGGGGACACCCTGTAGAATCAAACTTTGGTAAGAACATGTAGACACATGCATCTGTTCAGTTTTTATATTTAAAAATAAGCATTCCTTATGTTGCTAATACCATTCTTCAGTATATTGGCCTACATTTGGTATTACTGGTAATATTGTTACACCTACATTTAAACTGTCAACCCCCCTTTTGAGGCTGTATATTTCTTGCTTGGAGACATGAGTCAGTTTTGTCCTCAATCCTAAAGACATGCATTCCACTCAAAATAACATATTGATGGGAATTCCATTTTGAAACTAGTAAGGGTGACTTTAACCCTTTAACTGCTACATTCTTTTTCTTTATGCATCCTGTGCTGAGTGGTTTGCTTCTGGTGCACCATTGCGGGCCCCTTTTTTTTTTTTTTCTCATATACTTTATGTAAGTAATTACTCTGTTTAGGACAATCTCAGGTAAGAAGCACAAGAAGAAATGCCACAAGAAGATATACATTTCTGTGCTCAAGGTAACTTGATCGTAGCCATGAAATGGTTAATCAGTTTGAACTACCTCATTTATCAAGTATAAGCAAGTACTTTGTAAATGCTCCCTGTGGCACTAATTCTTAAGTTACCTTGATGTATCATGTGGGATGAGACACGTAGAAATGTTTCAAACTAAAAAATAATAAAATGTATGGTATATTTTAATTGTAAAAAATTCCCATTTGAAATACCACTACTTGCCAGATGAATTGTTCCACAAGAACATTCTTTTAAATGCCTGAATATAATTTACCCTGACTTCTCAGCAGTTTTTTTTCTTAAAACTCAAGAGTTTCTGTTAGGTTAAAAAAAGAGGTAATAATTTGAAAGTGAGGGGCAGTGGAGATCAGGAAAAGGTTCCTTAATCTTAAATATCAGAGAAGTACAGTAGTTGAAAAGTATGGTTTTTGAATGGGGAGTTGTATCATTGGTTCATGTAAGAAATTCCACATTTGATCTGTTTTAGGCTTCAGCAAGCGCAGGGTTGCCAACTATCCCACTATGTACAGCCCAGTCCAGCCTATTCACCAGCAGCTATGCCAGGATATGCCGTAGCTCCCTATTATGCAGGGAATTACCCCTACTACCAAAGGTATATTTGCACTGTCAGTGGTGAATTCACCAAATTCTATGATGCTTCCCAAAATTGAATCATTATCGAAATTTGATTGAGACTCTCGAAACTTGGGCATGATATGATGTCAAAGAGGAATTGAAATTCATAGGGTTTGGTGAATGGCACTCTGGAGCTTGCTCTTGCTTGCTAGACATATTCACTGGTGTGCCTGATATCCTATTTGTGAACATTCTCCTTTTTTCCTTTTTTTTTCTACCTTGTTATGGCTGCCTTTGTTTATCCCTATGCATACTTCATGAATCAGATGCTTTAATTTAAAGTCATCTGTGGATGATGACTTTCTTTGCAATTCTGTGCTAGTACTTGCAATACTTTCTTATTTTTTTTTTTACCTTCATGCTGGTGCTTGTAATATGAAGAACTGACTTGTAAGATGAGAATTCTGAAAGAGACATGAAATTCTCTTTGTAGCGGTGAAGCAGACAAGCAGAAGAAGGCTGCCCAGGCCAAAGCAGCAGCACCAAAAAAGGTAGTTGGACCTGGCTTTCTTTCCTATTTTTGTTGAAGACATAGTATTATTAGAAATATATAAAACTTGGAATTTTCAACTTCCTAATTGCAGGGTGGCCCTGAAAAATGTTGAGACCACTTTTTCCCTCTTGATTCAACAATTTTCAGCACCACCCTGTGCATGTATGTATTAGAGATGTTCAATTGTTTTTAGTTTACATGAATTATACTTGGAATGACTGCTTTTTTTTTTTTTTACCCTTGCAGACCTGAATTAAGATCACAATCAGAATAATAGAAGACTTTTTTGCTTTTTTTTTAGCTCTTTTGCTATTGTTCTTTAAAGTTTTATGTCCTATATATCGTTTTTATATGTTATATAAATTTACCATATCATACCATATATTATATAAAATATGTGTAATTAAATAACTGAAGATTACGAAACTGATGGGTGAAAGAAGGCCTCTGATGGAATTGAGCCATGCATAATTGCACCCATTGTAGTGTAATATGGGGTGCAAAGTCATGAGAATCCCAAGAACTTTCCATAGACACAATGAAAATGCAATGTCCATTGGAATGGATGGCAGGTCTGAAAGGGTTAAAATGCAAATCATGATGCTCTGACTTAATAGTTCTTGACTTGAAACTTGTTCTGTTTGCACAGACAACTGGTAGACGTGAAACTGGTTTCACTAAGACCTACAAGCTGAGCCCTGAGTTGGCTGAAATTGTTGGAGCTGAGGCAATGCCACGTCATGAAGTGGTGAAGCGAATGTGGGCCATCATCAAAGAAAGGAATCTCTATGATCCCAAGAATAAGCAGTTTGCCATATGTGATGACCAGCTCCTCAAAGTCTTTGGTAAGGTTTTCCATTTAAACTACCTCAAACCACTTAAATGTTAAATTAGATTTCACCCAATCTTTACTGTAATTTCCTGCATGTTGTTTGATATTTATTAGCATTTTATCTTGTCTAGGCTTGCATTTCAGTGGATTGACCTGAAAAGTATATAAATGTGTGCTGGTAACATAATACATGGAGACTTATTGTCCATGAGCATTTTGTGAATATATGTATATATTTTTTCTCTTCTTCATCAAATTCAGAAGTCCCTGTTCTGGGAATGATGTGAATTTGAAGTGTCAGTTGTACCTGAAACTCAGAAACACAGTGATCATTCCCTTAAATTTCATAAGTTCCTTTGCCTTGATGTGGAGTGGGACCCCAGATGGTTCATCTAATGCCAAGCCATTTGCAGCAGGGAGATAAGAACAAACATAGCATTCAGTTTACAGATTGGAATACAATATCCTTTATATAGGATCATAGATTACTTGGTTTGGCTTTTCAGGGTTTTGCTCAGCTTCTATGTGTGATAAGACCTTCATTATGGGAGGTGGAGTTTAGCACACCATGGGGAATAAGATTGAGTCCAGCATCATTTCCTATAGGTGATGCCTCTGAAAATTTGCTGCATGGTACTAAGTTAGTGTAAGTGAAAGTGGGAACTGCCAACTGCAATTTTCTTTTTAAAGTCAAGTTCTAATGTGGTCAAACATTGAAGTGCAGAGTGCTATTCTGTTTCTTCATGCAAGAGGCACCACACCTGCCAGAAATCCATGACTAAGTTGTAGTGGTTTATGGAGAACATGCCATGTCTCGAAAACAAGCATGGGTGTGGTTACACCACACCCATGCTTCGATTGTGGCCTTCGATTGTGGATGAATGAGTTTCTTCCAGTTCCCAGTTGCTGTTCATCAATGACACTCATTTGCCCAGAATCGAAGGCTTTACACCACACCCATGCTTGTTTTTGAGACATGGCATGTTCTCCATAAACCTCTACAACTTAGTCATGGATTTCTGGCAGGTGTGGTGCCTCTTGCATGAAGAAACTGAATAGCACTCTGCACTTCAATGTTTGACCATGTTTCTAGGAGGGCCACCATCATAACTGGCATTTTATGCACGCACAGTATTACACTGTGATATATCCGCACTTGAAATGGAAGCCCCACCACCATCACTGTACTCCGTAACCAAAAAAGTTTCTCAACACAAATAATAACTTATTCGCAGCAGGCCTTGTTACCTTATTTATTGAACACCCCTTGTAGATGACCAATGGACAAATAATACTCAATCATGACCTAGAGAGAGGAATATGTTAGATATATTCCCACTCAAAGAAAAGGTGGTGTTATAAAATAACTTTTGAAGGAATCTAATGAATCAAAATATGGAATAGCTCTGAACAGGATGCCATTTCATTCTATCCTGAGGTGTTTCAGCATTAGACAGAATTGTGCCTGAAATGATATGAGGCTGTCCCAGCAGGGCTAAATTGAGGTTTTTCATTGCTTATCCAACCAGAATGAAGAAAACTGGAAATGCTTATTCATTATTAATTTCATTGAGAAGCTTGAACTAGACTATGGATCAGCCAAAAGTTTGTTATGGTCTTGTTTTGGCTCTGACAAATCAGCTTAGACCTTTTTTTTTAGAATCTCACTTCCAGACCAGCATCAGTTATGCATTGGTTAATCTTTGTTATACTTTATTATAGCTAGGTATTGGATCTGAATATTCACTAGGAAAGTAAATATACTTATTGCAACAACAAAAAAAAACACCACCAAGAAGGAGCCAAGTGATTTTGATGAAATTTGGTACGCTTTTAGAAGCATGCCATGAAATCAATTTGAATTTCAAGGGCGTATAATGAATACTCACAGGGAAAAATTGTCAAATGCCTCAGGAATGGAGGATGAGCATGAGCATTCCAGTTTCTTTTTCCTTTCCCCTCAAGCTCCTTTATTAATGGGTCATTTTGGAGCATCTAGAGCTTCAACCAGTTTCAAGTGTTTGATCAGTTGATGTAAGCTAATTGGAATGCTTGCATCTAGTTGAAACATACAAAGCTTCCCAATTAACTGACTGATCAAATGCTCAAACAACTGGTTGAAATTACCATTAGAGAATCGGCATGCTGTTCCATGGTTTCTAAGTTTCTCCATTATTGTGCTTCATTATTAGAACTTGATTATTGCTCTATGCCATGGATATAGGCATCTGTGGGCATTCTCAGATGATGAAAGATGTTGGTGTATGAACTGTGTTTTGGACCATATGACATGTTTTGTTTTTTTTCCAGGTGTAAAACGCTTCCGAACCTTTGGAATGATGAAGTTCTTGAAGCACCACTTCTTGGAAAGCTAAGCTGCTCTTCAGCCAGGGACTGTGTGATCATACACAAACCCATGAAAACCGCGTGAATCGGAAGAAACATACAGCCATGTGGTATGTACAAATTTTTTGATTGGATTCTGTGGATTTTAAGTGCTTCAGCTACTTCTGTTTTGTTTCTACAATCAAGGCCATTGAAATTCAATCTCAAATTGATGATTCTCTAGCTCGTAGCCTTTCATTTCAGAGTGCAAAGACCACAGGGTTTGTTCCTGTGACAGATATCTCTCCCTCTCTTATGTACAGCAAGTATTGAACATGAGTGTATATGCCTGATGTCAGACAGGAATGTGTGTGCCTGTGTGAAAGTTTCTTCTGGGTTTTTTTTTCACTCTGTTATGTGAGTGAACTCGTGTAGATACTGCGGGCCTCAAAGTGTGGGGGGGAGGGGGGGTGGGTGTGCCCGTTTTTTTTATTATGAAGATTCAAGACTCTAGACTCAAAAGGACTTGTGTATCCTTGCTGTAGACTAGTCTGTCTGTGAATATTTGGTGTTTGCATCCTGGAATGGAGTTTTTTTGAAATCTCTGGACCCAGGTCTCTTTGAGATCACAGTTTCTGTTTTTCAGTTTCTGTTCGTTTTTTATGACAATGCCATGGGGAATGCAAGTTGACACATTTGTAATCCTGGAGGAAGTGCTGGTGGCCCTGTATTGTAGGCAGCGTACAAAGCAGACATTGATACCACTTCTAAATCAGCATTTATCATATGTGGCATGTTTGCCTGAACTCTTCAGGTGATAGTAAGATGGGCATTGGTTTCTGTGTTTGATATAGGAATTTTTTTTTTACTGTTTTTTATTATTCTCTCCAAGTTGTACTCTAGTTCCCCACCATTTCCCTTGGTCACATTGGAAACAAAGTGCAAACTTATGACTTTAATTTGTCCATTCTCACAGTCGTCACCAGTGTCAAAATGTGTGTAACAAAAAAAGGAAATAAAAGAAAAAACTAGAAAGATCACTTTTAATTTTTTACACTCTTATTTTGACATATCGCCAAAGGTATTCCTGTCCTTTGTCACCCATGCTTTTCCTTGTTGCATTTCAGTGAATGTTAAATGGGTATGGTAGCTGGATTTCCTGACTTAGGACATTGTTATGTTTTTTGTTTTTTTTTCTCCTGTCGTGTCCTTTTCTTGGCAGCAATCATTTTTTTATGCTCGAAGTGAAAAATAAAAGTGATCTCTTTCACCAAGAAATTTCTTATGAATTCACCCACACATACATTTATGTATATACTTTCTGGCAAAGCATTCTTCAAGTGGATTCCACCATGAAAGCAGCATTGTGAAACCCATATAATGGTTGTCATACCCAAAGGACATATGAACTCAAGGACTTGCAAAAATTGTACACCTATATAACTATCATCAGTTTGCTAGGAGTACAATGGAAACCATTATGAGAGCAAAGATATTGCTATGAATAGGGGTGCAGAAAATACTTATTTCTGGAATTAGCTAGTGGAATTAGTCATTCTAGGAGTACAGAAAAATCAACTGCTCATTTCCAGTTTTCATACTCTTACATCTTTTGCTTTCACCATAGCAGTCTAGAACACGAAACTCACTATAATTAATTAAAATAATATGGTTTACTGGGCTTACACAGACCACATACACAATGAAATTCAATATCTATCCATACCTCTGGATCTTGGTAAATTAAACATCGAAATAATAAAAATTAGCAAAATAATACTGTTAATGTACTTCCTTACCACATGTGGATGTAACCAAGGGATGTGTTCCTTGACATTTGACTGACCTTTGTGGTACAAACCAGGTATTTTATATCACTGGTTCAGCATTTCTGTCTGTTTATCTCCACCATAACAAACTTGTTTTGAAATAAAAAATATTCCAGGACACATGTAAATATCCTGCAGGAAATATCAGGTCATCCCATAACTCGTGTCTTGTTTATATGTGTATCTGTGCACATCTCATGGAATATTTCTATGCTAACTTGTGTAGACGTTAGTCTTCAGTCTACATGTAGGTTTTAACGAGTTAACAGTGCTCCATTTTTCTTAGACGTTAAAAACAAGATGGGAGTGTCAGAGGAACACATTAGGCGTTCAGGCTGACCTGTTGAGTTCGATGATGACCTGCTGATAGCCACACTTGAAGAAGATCCTGCTGTAACTGTTGAAGAACTTGCCCAGAAACTCAATTAGACCCATTTCACCATTCATTGCTGCTGGGAAACGACGGGACAGGAAACAACGGTTGGGAAAAGTGTCAAAACTTGGAAAGTGGGTTTCACATGTGTTGTCACCAGACAATCTTAGAGATCGGGTAAACATTTGCACTTCACAGCATTCTTGTGAACTTCTAGCGCCGTTTTTTGAATAGACTCATTAGCAGGATCTTCTTCAAGTGTGGCTATCAACAGGTCAACCTGAATGCGCTTCATCAGCTAAGCTCTAGTCACCATACCTGAATTTCTGGAACCACCGTTGGCATTTCCTCGCATTTAGAGCTTCCTCACCAAAAACATATTCAATGTTTTTCGTGGTTGCAGTCGCATTATTCCCTTTCTTAAATTCATAAAGCATTATATGCCTAATGTGTTCCTCTGACACATTCATATTGTTTTTAATGTCTAAGAAAAACGGAGTGCTGTTAACTCGTTAAAACCTACACGTAGACTGAAGACTAATGTCTACGCAAGTTATCATAGAAATATTCCATGAGATGTTCACAGATACACATACAAACAAGACACAAGTTTGACAATGCAAAAAAACTGCATTACTTATGGGATGACCTGATACATTAAAATGAAGTTAACTTGAACACACCAGATAATGAATCTGAGTGTACCCCTGATATGCAGACTTTTCTGACAATATTATTTATTTTACATAGCATTATTTGACAGATCTGCTTATTTTGTGTCTGCTTTAGCTCTCAGTTTATGGGTTCTACAAGCTTGCTTGGCATTTCTGGAAGCAGTTCTTCATGTATAAGCCCACTTCACACTGCAGTCACTGGCAGAACTCCCATCTCTGCCATTGCGTCACCATGCCCGTCGTTGCTCTCACTGGAGTCACTGGAATCATTTTCTGAATGTCTGCTATCATCTTTTGAAGAGTTGAAGACTCATTCAGAATCGCTCTCACACAGTAAATTGCTGAACAAACTTTCTTCAACACCATGTTTTCCCTTCCTGCATGATGCCATGACTGCTTATGAGGAGAGTGTATCAGACAGGATACTTTGTCAGCAGAAACAGGCGAGTTTAACTGGAAGGCTGTACTGGTACAATATCTGCCAAATATCAGAGAAATGACCAGCCATCAGGTGGATGTCAACAAGATTGGTTGCAGTGGGAAATTTATATATTAGCATGATGCACCCATATGTGTCTTGCGCATCAGGGATGGACCTAGCCCATGATGCATATGAGTGTGTCATGTGTTCAAAGGGTTGATCACATCACTTTGAATAATTGTGTGAGTTTGTTAGCATGTAAGTGTTTCAACTATTCATATTCAAGTAGTGGTGACAACCAATTTCAATTAAATATTTATCCAATTGTCAATAATCATTTCATTTGAAATAAAAGATTAAATATGCACAAAATATAAATATTCAGCAATTTATTATGTACCAGCAGTTGCTATTAAGTTGAAATCAGGTCTAATATTTCCTGTTTCAGCCAGTACATGTGAGATTAGAAGACAGCTTTGTTTGGGGAATTAGAGCATCCACTTCATTAATTTATTGATTCCAGCCAAACAAGTTGCAAATGTGGATTTGTGGTAAGTGACTAGAACAGTAGCAAATCTGCCAGGCTAGTGAGAATTCCCACTTTTGCAGAAACAGGCAGGTTTGAAGCCAGGTAATTGCGATGAAAATTCAAGGGGGGAGAGTACTGACAGTGATACAAGCCATTTGGGAAGCAGGAGGTAGCAGCAGCAATTTAGGAGACTTTGATTTTCATGAGCAGGAAGGTGGCCACTTACATCCAAAAATAATGGGAAAGAGGCTTTTAAGGAAAGGCATGGTTACCTCAATGGCAACCTGCTTCACTTTCCACAGCCATAACCATGGCTTGAGCCATAAAGCTACTAGAAAATCAAGACCTTCTCATACATTTATGCATAAAAGCAGAGTATAATTCATGAGGGGTACCAAGAATGTGGTGGAATGATGTGATACTCACAAGTGACAGACAAATATTCTTTTTCAGGTCTTAATTTTTTCTTGAATTGTCCTGCAAAAACAAAATTTCACTTGGCATCAAAATGGGATGTTTTAAATTGCAGCTGATGGAAGTGCTGCATCATCATAGTGAATTTAGCTGTTCTTGCTGCTAGGATGCAGTGAACTCAGTCCTGCAAGAGCTACAGTATTCTTGCTGAAGATGTTAAATTTTAAAGTTCGTCAATGACTTCTGAGCAGAGACCTGAGAAGCAAAATTCACACTTCTCGGTAGATGGAATTATGACTTCAATACGATGTTCCCAACAGAAGGATCCAGGAATGTAGTATTTCTTCACTCATGAGAAGAGTGAAAATCTCCCACAAGAATGATAACTGGCTGAATGATTGGAGAAATATGAAACCTTCTGCAAATGCATGGATTCTTTGACAGTTTGAGGAAATAAATATATTTCTATTCTAGCCAAGGCTTGAAAAGAAAATACCAGATATGCTGTGCTGGAGTGTCTCAAGAAACATGAAGGAACCATAGCTTGTTTACTGTGACACTTTTAAGACTGGAGAGTGGTACGATTTCAGTAACTGAATTGCAACCAAGAGAGGGAATATGTTTAATGGGAAACCAAAGGAAAAATGGAGTAGTGAGAGAAGTTTTTAAATGGTCATAATGATTTAAATGCTCAAGAGGATGAAATGGTGTATGCAGTCCTTCATCCAGCAGTGGATAGAAAATGACTGATGAGGGGGGGGGGGGGGGCTTGTGAGCCTGTTTTTACAATGCTACATGCAAAGATGTAGTCAGGGCTGGCAAACTGAGTATCTGCCCAGGGCACCAAAGGAGGATGCATGTTGGAAAATTTCTCCTTTTCACTCCCATAGAAGATCTGTGTGTTTGGTGGTCCACAGATCACAGATTGAGAACCACTGCTCTACAATGACTAAAGTCTCCCAGAAGTAGTTAGATCCACTTTATTAACTATGATAATCTCTACATTATTCATGGAGTGCTGGGAGTTTTGAAGAGATGCAAGTAACATAAACGTAGACACTAAATCATGAGAAAATGCAGCAAAACTTAAACTAAACCCCAGAGCTTTATGCATTATTTATGTATTATGATATCAAGGTTCTGTAGAATCTGGTAACACTTTCACTTAACAGCTGCTGATGATGCACACGTGCACCAAAAACTAAAGATAAAAATCACTCAGGAGCAAACATTTTAATCAAAATGAGGTAAGTATTCTTGGCTTGTGCATGTTTCAAAGGACCTCAATACATTATATGTGGTTCAACAGAATTAGTCTGGGTTTCATCATGAAGTTCATGTCAAAAGCTTCTGTTGAATATTAATCATGGGTTGAGTAGGGCCATATTAATAACGTCTATCACATGGCTAATTCTGGAATGCCCTGTAAATGGGAGTATATAAAAGATGAGGTCATCATATTCCAGTAAATGGAAAAACCAGGTTCCAGCAAAGTGAAAGTAAATGTTATCAAATTCCTCCCAAGCTATACACACTGCCAGCCGGAATCCGGTGCTGGAATCAGGTTTGCTCAAGAAGGTCCCAATCTATTAAATGAGCTTGTAAATTACATAGTTCTAGGACTCCACCTCTAAAAAAAGTACTCCATAAAGTGGTAACATTCTTAATTATTCACCTCATTAGTCAGGTATTCCATATAGTGGTCTGATACCCTAAGGGCTGGCTATGCCTTCATGAGGCCTCATAAATGTGATCCAGAAGTAAACCTTTTTAAAATAAATAAAAAAACAGGCAATAGTTTCAGTAAATGAAGAATTTTTCTTCAATCTTCTTACAAATTGCTGGAAACACTGATGAATTCAAAGCTTCTTCATTTTCCCCTTCCTTTTGGCCTTGAGCTGGGCACCTCTCCGTGAGCCTGTCTTTGCAGCCTTGACCAGGCTCTTCAAATGTCCAGAATGCTTGGTCTTTGTCCTGTGATGTTCAAGAAAAGAAACACACGTTAGGAAGAGGATGCAAATCCTATATGGGCACTCAGGATATTGAAAGCCCACCTCTTGTTGAGTAACTGTCTGTCCAAGGGAACATATGCAAATGGGTCAGGTCTTCCTTTCCTCTTTACATCTCCTCGTCCTGTTTTTGACCTGTATTCTTTGCCATAGTCAACAGGGCCCTGCTTTCTCTTTCCTTTGTTGCTCAATGGACGGTGAATCCCAAAACCCCCAGCTGCCAAAGATTTTTCAAAAAATCATTGCACAACTACAAAGAGGCAAGAATTTATGCAAACCATTTTTAAATCCTGCTCCTTGATAAATAAAAAATCACATCTGACATACAACTGCAAAGTGGAATATGCCTAAAGCTAGTAAATCACTCACGCTTGTAAACTTTGTCTATGGAATCAAAGTCAATCGTGTCTGGATCATCTTTGCTATCTGAGTCTCCCTGATCCTCAAGTCGAGCAGCTTTGACCTTAGGAGTCTCTGCAAGAGGAACCACAGGATACAGGTAGAGCAGCATCAAAACACCCTACTATAACTATATCCATCCACTAAAGAATCTTTATTACCATCCATGTCAGCCTTAACAGCAACTCTCTTCTTCCTCTTCTGGCCAGGTTTCACTTCAGAGTCACTCTCTGAATCTTCAATGATTAGTTTCCCATCTGTGGTGGTAGGGAATTCCAACTTTGCTTGCTGTTTGCATTGCTCCCTTGGATTGCTCCCTTCCATGTGGAAGTCAAATGAAGATGAATGTTTCTAATGGGTGAACTGGCAAGGTATCCAAAAGAGCATGAAAATGAACATTGTTCTGACCAGTGACAGCTTTTGCAGTCCGAGGATCCAGAAGATCAACTATTTCACCTTGACGCTCTTGAATCCAGGTTTCAGCACCCCTTTTCCTACCTTTCTTTTTCTTTTCCCTCTTGGACTCATTATCTGAGTCACCTAAATCCACATCATGAACTGCTTCTGCCAAGATGTCTTCTATGCTATTGTGTCAGAATAAGAAATTGAATGAAGATTGAACATTGAGAAATGGCATTCTAAAGCAATTGTTAGAGAAGTTCAAGTATCCCAGAAAGTTCACACCTTTCAGCATGTTTTGCCTTGAATGAAGAGCTCTCAAGCTCTTCTCCAGATTCTTCTTCATTAGCAGATGCCATCTTCTTTTTCTTCTTCCTCATCTCTGTTTTTTGAATGTTTCTCAAGCACTTGTGAAGACTCTCATCATCTTTTGGCAAGAGTTGCATGATCTGAAGTGATAATGCATAACACATTGAAAATCCATCACAACAAAGCACCTTAAGAAAGTTTTGATACTTGAAAAAAAAAAATTGCTTATTGCATTTAGAAAAAAGAATATGCATTACTCACAGCATTAGGACCATACTTCCTCATCATGAGACAGAAGAGGTTCCGCACTTTCACACGAAAATGACGCTTGCAGTCAATAGTCATAGAACTCAGAGCTTTTACCTAAAGAAAGAATCAAGTACCAAGCAGATCATATTGCAGTCCCTGCTTCAAAATGAATGCTCATATGCCACAGATAATTCAATTCCTCACAAGATCAGGGATGAAGGTAAGGACTGCATCTGGAGCTTGTGCTGCCAAGATGACCCTGACGAAGCTAAGGGCACTCCCAACTATTTCTCTGCTGGGAGAGGTCATCAACAAACTTGTATTTTCCACCAGGAGGGAGATTAGGTCTTCAGTGAATCCATCTAGTTTTTAAATGAGAATGCAATTAGCAATTGACTATCAATGAATGGGGCAATCTATAATTGGAATCACAGACTCTAATACGGTACCTTTGAACTGGAAGAGTACATGTGCCAAGGCCAAGAGTGTAGCACTGATGAGGGTGGGAGAGCCAGCAAGACCAGCCAAGAGTAGCTCCAGGTAACAGTGGATTGTTTCAGTCACAGTCTTTCCTGTTGTCCTCTGTGAACAATATATACAGGGTGACAGTCTCGAACAAAATATATTCAGCTCCACATACTGGAATACTCATGGGACCAGTGAACTTTATTCAATAATCTGGAGTATTCCAATAACTGAAACTATCTGCTGTATTGTACTGTATTAGGTCGTTAAGTATGAAATGTCCGATTTTCGGTTACTTAACAAATGATCGCGATTGTGAATACAGAAATTCTTAAAATTATATCAGAGCCATACAGAGTTAGAAGAGGTAAGAGGTGCTTCAAAATACGTCATATCCAGTTAATTCTATTGTACCGTTATTTTGTTTTTGTAGGTACTTCAAAATGGTTTCTTCACAAGAAATTCGTGCTCTTTTTTTATACGAGTATAAATAGAACCATAGTGCGTCGCAGGCAGCAAGAAACATTAATGCTGCTTTTGGAGAAGGAAGTGCTAACGAATGGACTATTCGCAGGCGGTATGAAAAATTCAGCAAAGGTGATGAAAGTCTTCAAAATGAGCCCAGGGGAAGACCACAAAAACTCATAGATGACGACAAATTGAGAGTTGTATTAATACAACTCTCAATTCTCTTCTCAATTTCCTAGATAATAGAGAATTTCAATTAAGAAAGTGCCATAGGAATGGTAATTCACCTTATTAGTATTCAATACTAGAAATCACTAATGCCAGTCACAAATACTACTGGTAATCTCCTTCATATAGGTTTGTCCAAATGCAAGACCTGAAATATGCCTAACATATATAGGGTGGCCTAATTTAAATTAGGGCTGTCACGATAGATCGATGCATCGATACCACTATCGATAGTTGGAGATATCGATATTTTTTTAGACCATCCCAATGTATCCACAAAATATTTTAAAGGGGAAATGTCCCATTGGATTGAGGCAAGTACTGTACAATACAGTCCGTCCGGGCGGGGAAAGGAAGAAGCGGCGTGACCCGCATGGGCTTGGAATTTCTTATCACAATCAAATTCTGGAAATGCTGGGACTAACTATATGAAAGACAGGAAGGGAGGAAAGGAGAAAGGAATTGGGAAAGGAGAGGGGGGGGGGGAAGCCCAAGAATATTTTTTTTTATCGTCAGTTTCAGTCTCCGGCTTGATCTCATCAGGTGTATGCTGCGGAAGTGGACTGTTTTTATACTCCCTTGATTTTGAAACGTACATTGGTTAATCCCCTCTCTATATTCCTGTCTATCACTTCAGTATGCAGGCTTAACTTTCTTAATTTTTAACTTGCCTTAGGCATTTTATCTCTACTTAAGGTGAAATCAATGTGAATTTTTTACATGGACGTTGCTTATTCTAGGCCTGTACCAATGTTTTGGCAACCGCCAGTATGGCATCATCAGCAGGTTTTCTATCTGCCGGTGCCGATGTCCAAAGACAGGGTAGAACTAAGAAAATTAGGGCTGTCCTGATGCATCCATCGATGAATGGATGTCATCTTCAATAGTTGGAGTCATGGTAAGTTTCATTACTCTTTGCGAAGGTCACACATTCCCCTTGCACCCCCGATCACAAGCGTGAGATTATGGAAGCCGGATAGAGGTCTGTGCTCCAATCGCAGCATGAAAATATGGAATCCTCCGCACCCCCCCCCCCCCCGATGCATTGATACACTATCAATAGTTTAGGTCGATGCATCGATGTATAAAATTTACATGAGCTATAGCCCAACAAATCTGTATATACTTAAATGGGCCACCCTGTACTTCACCTGGGTGCCCTTAACCCTGTCTCAGTTGAGAAAAACCTTTTTTTTCCCCCTCCTTTTCCAACCCCTAAGGTGAGGCAAGAGAAAAAAAAAAGGGTTTTCTCTAACATTTTGAGACCCCCTTGTTTGTACCTTTTCCACACCAATGATTGGCAATAGTTTGGTGGCTTCTGTGAAGAGTTTTCTAGGAAAATGGTTGATTTTTTCTCGACTAACTTAACCCATTCACTGCCTGGGATTTAAACTAATGAAAATTTCAAAATACCGTCAGTAATGTTTAAGGGTGTGGTATCTTGTATGCAACCCTAGTATGTTGAGACATTTGAATGATATCTCATGAAGAAATAATTAACTATTAGGAAGACAGCATGAAAACTGCTTAAGCTGTATATGGCCATGGCGAAATGGATTCATGAAAATGGCTATAGCCATATATGGCAGCAAATGTGTTAATTGAAAATTTCCTATTTCCAAAATTTCTCTATATCTGGTACCAACAGATATATATAGAGCTTTGATGTGATGGGCAATTCCTGTAAGAGGAATGTCCTAAAAAAGTCTCATCTATGCCTAATGTGTTGTCAGCTTTTGGATATTTACTTCAGAAAGTAGAAAACAGTCAATTTCTTCAAAAGTTCTGAATATTTCAAAATATTATTTTTCTGCAGACATGTAGCATATGTATAGTTGAATGCATGAAGTAAATTTCATGGAAATCCCAGAAGAGGTATTAAAGCTAAATAAGGTCAAAGGTCAGAATCTACACTTCAGCATTAAATGTCATATATTATGATAACACCATCATGCATGGTATCTGAAAAGAGCAAAAAGAGACCTTTAAAAAGGTCTATGAACTATTTCTCTGGCTTTATCAGAAGTGAAGTTTTTAAAATATCAGGACAAGGGTGCTGCCAGGTCACAAAGCAGGCAATTTCTTAATGTCCTCTTATTTGGAGATCTAAGTGAATGAGGACATAAATGTTTTGGGGGTGAAAGTTTCTCAATTGTACAGAGCATGCGGTCAAATTTAAGGAAACTTGGAGAAAGTAATGTATTATGGTGTGCTAATTTGACATGAAATGACTCAATAGTTTCATTGTCTCACAGTAAAAACTAAAATTCACTTTTACCAAAGAAAAATATGCTATTTTGCTTCAAGGATTAATTCTGATAAATTCCCATAAAGATGGGAGTGGATGCTGTACAACACAGAAATTTCATTTTTCCTTTTTCAGCTCAACTCTGATATTACACTCCTTGATTTCTTACCTGTATGGCTTTCCCAACTTCTAGGAGAAGCTGGAATGCATGTTCCCTGGCCTGCTGATTTCCAGCTCTTGTACAAAGGATGGCTTCCCCAACAAGAGATTTCAAGAAGGCATCCTCCAACCTTTCCATTTTCCCCATAAGATGAATCAGACAGCTGAGACGAGCCTGGCATAGACACACGACAGGCTTCTCACCAGGATTTTGACAGAACAGAATTTCTAGGAAATAGTCTGTCTCCGTTAAAATGAATTTGGAGAAAGTCATAAGTGTTGATGACTATGAGCAACACCAGAGGATCCAGAACAATTCAGTGCAATCTTAGCTTTGTTTTTTCTTGAATAGAATGTTGCTCACTAAGCCATCACAACCAGGATTTAAAAATAATTAAAAACAGCTGCTTTACTCAAGGCAGTTAAATTCAGAGTTTTGGATTTTCCTTCTATTTTATTAATTGAATCAATGCAACCTTTTGACAAGAACATTTAGTTGGTGAGTTGTTGAAACTTGGAGAAACAAACAGTGATGTCAGCAGCTACATACATGCAATACTGCATATTTTTAATATTAAATATATCAAGCTTTCAAATGTGCACTGGCAGACTCAGGAAGCCATGTCATACAGCTATCAGTCCACTCAATTTGCAAAATGGGAAAACAATTGAGTTCATTGGTTATGGCCCATGATCTCATGCATTCTCAGAAACAGAAATGGATAGCAAGAATGGAAATTCATTTCTAGTATCGGAGGAAAACAGTAGAGGACAGCTGTTAAATTAACTTTTTTAAGTCAGCCTCTTTTTATGGCTTTCAGATTGCAGAGAGTTTCAGATATGTTGGGGCTTATGGTCATCACAAATTTCTTGATTCAAAATTCCCTAAATAAAATTTTCCAAACACCTGTTTTTTTTTTGTTTTTTTTTTTTTTTTTACAAGTCTTGAGGAAATAGGGTAAAAGACCCAGTGATGGGCCTGTTAATGGCGGGTACTCATAGCATATGTCACAACATAGGTAGGCTTGCTATGGAAGCTTAGCTATTGGAATTTTTATGTGCTGTGGCCCATCACTGGGGACCGGTCCATCACTGGGTCTTTTACCCTATCTCTGTTCTTGGACAACTCATATTTTAAATTGCTGTATGAGAGTGGACAAGGACTATAACCAGGACTGACAGTCTGTATATAAAGAAATTTTGGCATTCTTGCAAGCAAGGATGTAAGCCCATTTTTCCATATCTTATGGGAGAGAGAGAGAAAAAAAAAACAGTATGATTCTGCACTAGGCAGAATGCAAGAATCACAGGAAAATTTACAGGGTGTTCATGAAGTTTATAACCACACTAAATGAAACAGGAATATCTCCAGAATGGCTAGATGGATTTGCATGAAACTTGAGGTTATAAATCAAGACAACATTGAATTCATTTTGCAAATAAGTGGTGCAATGCAATAGGTGGTGCAAAGTTGCACTTTGTTGGGGATAAGGAGGTTGCTGAGTTGCCATTAATTAGAAAAACAAATGAAATGGCTTGTTTGACCACTTAAATGGGTATGATGGGCATACTCATCATGGCCATTCTTCCATGTGGCGTGAATGACAGGAATACTTGTCATCAGATTTGAAGATATAGGACTGTCATTCAGAGAAACATTCATGAAACATTATTTGCCTTGAATAAAAAATAATTAAATGAAGCTCATTGCATACACAAGCTACCAGAGAAATAACTTCCCACCAAACCTGTCCATGCAGTGTGGAAACTCACTAGTTAAGTGGTTAACAATGGCTTTGGTAGCTTGATATAATAATAATGGACCCAATGCATGTGGACACACCACATGAAGAATGGAATTTGAACTGGTCTTGCCTGATGAGTCTATACATTTTAGCAATCCTCACCAAGTGCTTTGAATGAAAAGGAAGCTACAATCATAGCAGGTCAGCATGAATGATGTGGCTTCTCCTGACAAATCTTGCCCATGTTTTTGCTGCAACCTGCACATTGGTTGTAAACCAGGTACTTCTTTCCTGTCCTGAATGCATCCTGTTTGTTCAAAGCACTTCATGGGGGTGGGTAATCAACATCCAAGGTTGGCATGGGTCAATTTGAACTTGATTCTTGATGTGGTATTCCTGCATTGCACCAATCACATTAAGTCCATTTTAATTATAACAAGCTATTACAGCTATACATTTTGCAATTGTGAAATGTGCCATTTTGTCTATTCACATGGTGAAAACTCTGAACCATTCATACCCCAACCTGTAACAAGGTGGAAACTTGTAAAAATGTATGCTAATTTGTGCTATCTTTCAAAAAAGCATGCATAAAAAGAACTTCCCTGGTATCTTGAGTTAGAATCTCACATTTCACGAAAATGTTGTCTTGCCATACTGGTGCTATTCCATTTTCATTTAGTGCACATACATGTGTACAAACATTGTGCATAATGAAATGTGGTCAATTTATAGTCAAACACAGAAACTTACAGCTTTTGACACTGGAGAAGCAGAGGTAAGTGATTCCACAAGAAGGTCTTGCATCTCATGTAAATGTTCACTGATGAATTCCTTCACAGAATTGGATTCTGAGGAACAAATGCACTGTAGCACCCTATAGCTCTTCTTCTGCTCTTTCATCTGACCCTCTTTGATAAGGGGGACAATAAACTCCCAAATCCTGAAAGATAAAAAAGTTGCAAAATGATATAATTCCCTTAAAAAAGCAAAACAAAACTTATAAAAACTGTCCTGGATGAAATACAAGGTTTGATCCAAAAGTTTTAGGACATGACTTACCATTTTTGTGGACTGGGGTCTTGGAGTTATTTGCTGTGGTCACTTTCAAGTAGTCCCCCTGGGAATCCACAGACCTCTGCCAGCAGTCCTGCAGCTTCTGGATGCACTTCATAAAGCCCTCTATTGGAAAGGCTAGAAGTTCATGTGTCACATTTATTTGGATTGTCTAGATGTCCTCATATCTTCAGCCTTTCAGATTATGGAACAGCAAAAAATCTCACAGAGCCAGATTTGTTGAATAAGGCAGGTGTTCAAGTTCTGTGATGTTGAAAATGCAACTGAAAGGCCAAAGATTTGAAGACATCCAGACAATCCAAACAAATGCAAGGCATGAACTCCTAACCTTTTCAATAGAGAGCTTTATGAAGTGCTTCCAGAAGCTGCAGGACTGCTGGCAGAGATCTGTAGACTCCCAAGCAGTGACTGATACAGGGGGGGGGGGGGCAATTGCCTCCCTATGGCCAGGTTAGCATTCTACAGATATATATTTTTTTTTTTATAGCTTCTACATTAACTTTTATTGGGACCAGTGAAATAGATATTTGGTTTTTACCCCAGACAAAAATGAAAAAGGCAATAGGGCAGGGAGTGGTAAAATGCAGGGGGAACTGTAGGTAGGAACTAGGGAACTGCCCCCCCCCCCCCCATGAAAAATTTCTGTATCTCCCCCTAGCTCCCAAGGGGACTACTTTGAAAGTGACCACAGCAAGTAACTCCAAGACCCCAGCCCTCAAAAATGGTAAGTCATGTCCAAAAACTTTTGGATCAAACCTTGTAGTGAAAATCCTTTCCCTCATTAAGTCAAAATCATAATGCCTGTGCATAAATGGAAAATATTATCTATAGCACTGAGCAACCCCAATAAGCACTCTTCATTCTAAATTTTACTTATTCACAATGACATGAGGACAGCATAAACCTATATGAAGATTATTTAAAATTTCATGAGCATATGTCAAATGTAACTTTGAGAGACAATACAATTCTGATTAGAATATGCTGCTTCCCATTAGGTATCCAGCCACAAGAATGGCTTTGAAATCAGTAGGAGCATAAAATAAAGAACAACAAGGATGCATGGATGAGTAATGAGGACATTCCTATGCATGAAAACATTACATTCTCTTGACTAACGAGATGCTGAGATTCTTAAAGGAAGACCTCTGTAGCCTCTATCAAAACCATTTATATGAGTTGGAAAAATTTTCTCACCATTCAAGAACTAGGTTTCACAACATGTTCAAATTCAAGTAGTATAGCCCTGGAGCAAGAACACAACTTAGATTCTATTGTTCACTAATAGCATAATTGGGAAATGAAATAGGTAGTTTACTGATATTGTTGATGAAATTTAGTTAGTAACTGAGTCTGTCCATGCTGAGTGGTCCAAAGATTCACAGAAGGAAATTTCTCTTAATTAAAAAATATTACATTCTCTGAAAAAGTTCATCTCTTTCCCCTGAAGGCATGAATGAATGAGAATATTAAAATTCAAAGAAATAGTCATCTTTATTACATATTATTGATTCCATTCTCATGATATTAATGAATGTGATGGAAATGCAAATCTGGAGAGACTGAATTGGATTACTGGAACAGATTCCAGCATGGGTTCTCCCATGCATAGTGAAAATTTCAAATCAACTCACGTGTGAAGAGATGTCAATTGTTCACATTTGAATTATTTAAAAAAATACACTGAAAGATATGATTAGACTTCATGTTATACGTGACAGGAAAGTGTCAGATGCTCCATGTTCTGAAACTTTATTTTAAAACAAGATCACAAAATTTGCCTTGCTTTCTTTTCCAAGTTTTATCATTTTGGTGTGACTTACACTAATTTCAGACTCTCACTTAATCTATAGAATGAACATAATACAAATTTGATAGGGTCTGCTTTATGACTGAAATGGGACTATCAGAGTAAGTGACTTTAACCAGAAGTTTCATGAAATTTCATGTCCAACACTTTTCTCCCCACAACAATAAACCTATAGCAAAAGAAAGTATGCAGGACTTTAGGTTCTGGAATTTCCAGTCACTGCCAAAGACATATTGTTGCTGCCTTTATATGTTGATTCATCATTTATAATATAGATAAATACATTTTGTATGCCAAACATATTACTCCGGATGTCATGTCCAACACTTTGGACAGGACCAGCTTCAAGAAAAAGGAACAGAAGTAGGATTATATTGAAAGTGAGACCAGTCATTGCAGGTAGTTCACTTGAGAAACTCAAGAAAGTTCAAGAAGGTAGGTTGGGAGGTCAAGAGACATTTCTGCCTATTATCCTGAGTCAAAGTCGAACGCTGATAAGAAGAAAATATGCAATTAATCCTGTTCTGGGTTCAATGGACCCTGATGCAAAAATGTAGCCATTTGTGTAAACTTGAAAAATCTAATATTTGGTGTATTTTTATGAAGAGATGTGATAGTAATTAGACAAAGTATTTTGAAGAGATTTTTTTAGAACAAAGATATGAAAAAAAGTGAAACATATGACCATCTGGGTTCTGGAAGTTATATGTAATGAAATATCCCATCCAAGGTCATCTATAAGGTATATAGATCTGAAAATTAGTGTATGGGTCACTTGGGATACTCTCATGAAGAAAAGCATTCCATATTCTTCATCTGATACCTGGATGTACAAAATTCCATGTATAAGGATACTAAGGGTCTCTAAATGATAGTACATGCCCCCTCTTATTCAACCAATGCATGGCTTTCCAAAATTTGAATCATTTATCTCCTTTGAATGCTATGGGTTAGAGCTTGATTAGGAAACAGAATTTTTCATGGGTGGCAGCTATTTAAAATTAAAAAAATTACTGACTATGATTAGGACCTCAAATCTCCGAGTGGAGTCCAAGCTAAGACAAAGTTTTATTACAATGCCAGTGTTCATGAAGTGTCTGAAAACTAGAACTGCAGATCATATGGATGAGATTGGATTATATGAGTGCACCTGTTGTGCTTTCTGTATTCAATACATCATTCCACCTAGCACTTATGTTTGTTTGCCAAATTTAGAGAGAGAGATTAAGGTATATTAGGCCATAATTTCCAATTTTTCCATCAAGTAGCAGTTGGAAAATGTTTAAAGCATCACTTTCAATTTTCCTTAGGATCAGAAGCATAAGGATATTGAGAATATTGATTATTTGAACTGACTTTCAGCACCTTTAACATGAAATCCAATGCTTTCTGAGATCATACCAGTAGAGATGGGAACCGCGTTGCATGCAGCATCATGGACAATAAGCACCTCTAGGCAAGCTTCAAATTGTATTGACTTGTATTGTATTGTCAATACAATCGATAGATAACAATTCAGGAACCTTTTTTTTTTTTTTTACCTCTTGAGCATCACAAGCTACTTTGCTTCAATCCCCCCAATATAGGTCTGACAATAAAAAGGACTCATTTTTCTGTCCACTCCTTACTTCTCCTCTTCCACTCTACTTCATTCAGCAGTCTCGTTTCTAGCCGGATGGATAAAGTTCATTGTGGAAAAATGACAAGGGCTCTGTAATGCTGCTTTAGTACTTTTAAGGGCTGTTGATTCAATTAGATTAATCAACCAATTAATCTATTAAAATGATTAATATATTAAAGTATTAATCACAATTTATATAATTTGTCAAAATTAATCTAATTTTAATTGACCCCCTAATCTCCCCCCCAATTGCCTCTTTTTCCCCTTATAATTTTACTGTGTAGTTCATAGTTTTGCAAAACAACCGAAAATGAATGCTTTTTTCAAGGGAATGAAATGTAATGATGGCTTGTAGATGGTAGTCATTTTCACACTGCTCACTCTTCCTCAAAACGATATACTATTAATATTTTTTGAAAACAGGAACACAAAAAAACAAAGCCATCACTTTCAGGCTATTTAATAAATTAAAAGCTTCCAGGCCTCTTTGCATCCACAAGCGTACTGGTTCACATCTCGTATCCTTCTGCCTAGCCTACGGCCTTTAAAAGCAGGGTTTCAGAACGGAATGAAAAACTGGAACGGAACGGAAAAAATCCCTGGAATGGAACGGAACATGGAATGCTATTCACTGGCAGCTGAGGAACAAAAAACCAGAACAGAACAAAATTGCTCACTTCTTAAAACAAAATTATTTCATTCCATTCTGTTCCTTGACCTTCCTTTGCAATTGTGTTGAAGGAAGATTAACGTTTCTTCACTTTCCCGCAGTTCCATCCCCAAAATTAACATCGAATTCTTGGTTGTGTGGGTTTGGGGGGGGGGGGGGGGGTTTCTAAGGGAAAACTTAGAGACAATTTAGTAACCACAAAGAATCCTAGATGTTGCTGGCTTTCTGTTAGCCTTTGAGGGGAACATTACTTCTTAATGCTAACATAAGGGAAGAATGCAATTGAAGCTTTTTCTGCATCTTATAGGAATAAAATCTTAGAAGTGGTCCACTACTCCCCTGTTTACCCTATATTAGTCTGGGAGAGGCTAGCAGGAGTGGCTTTCATTGGGACATGAGGGCCGGTGCCTAGCCATGTTCACATTATTTTTTTCTGCATTGCTGTATGCCGGGATTGATTCTGAGCTTTTTCATTTTCTTTGGATTCAAGCTCTGGGAAAAAAATTTGAATGATGTACTAACAGACAGCAATCTCTGTGCATTGGATAATGAGCAAAAAAAAAATACAATTTTGCACAAAAACCTCAAGGTCAGGAAGGTATGCATTAGATAGATCCCATGCTTTCTGACAATAGAGAATAAAGTCACACAAGGGTGGAGTTCAGCCATCTAATGCTTTAGGAATTTGATAATTGGTAGCTAAATGTCATCTAGCATATCCAGAAATGTGATGAGATGAGGGTTTATTGTTACCACCTGTCAGGATAGTGTGAAGAGCTTTTGATCAGCAATTTTCAAAATTTTCAAGCATCAATTGGCTGACCACCCACATCTCATGGCTTCTCAAAGTCCCCTCAGCTATTCCAGCAAAATTAATTGTATCTACATGCTAATTTGGCATGTGACTTACATAGTCAAAATGTTAACTAACAGAAAATATAAGTGCATGTAATTATTCTTTAAATTAGCATGACAAAACTTTGGGGGTGGTCCTCATATGTCAAATCAATCATGATTTCATTAAGAGCCATTTAGGTTCATTTTTTTTAACATACCATGCTAAAAAAATGCACTTCTTACAAGTAGATTCTAATGTTTTCACCCTGTATTTCAGCATTTTGGAAGCACCAAAAGCACACTATAGGCTGAGTTGAGATCAGCAATACCCTTTCATCAAAAGTGATGCAGCATCTTTTACTCTGTAGTTGATCTACACACTTACCATATCAGTCAATATTTTGCAGCACTCTATTGAGCAATGCTTATGATCCCTAGACAGTACATCAATGGGCTAAGTAGCCTGATAATTACTTCTCTTTCTAAATTGTTCTGGTGGTTTCTGCTACATTTGTTGCTTTGTATAATTTCTACAAGTTTTCCATATTTAGTCTTGCCTGATCATGTAAGTATGCCTCCCAGAATCCTTCCAGAGGCAAATTCCTAGAAAGGAAGCAGGCAGCATTTTAACATTTCCTACAATCTTTGAGCACTAGATATTTCAATGCATGAGGCCCACCAAAGGCATTTTTACTGAATGAATTATACTAATCAAAATTAGTTTTAAAATGTTTCTTCTGGGTTGACTAGTAGGTTTGGTCACCAGTAAAACCAGGTAATTCTAGATCTCAGGAAGAACCATGAGGTTAGAACCTATTTCTTATCACAAGATCATAAGTTATGACTCAGGACGGAAATTCTATTGAATAGAGGGATTCAGTGCCATGACTCTCACTACAGGGCACAATCTCAGTCATTCCTGCAAAATCAAACTCCCAAACACCTAAAAAATATTTGTATCCAGCAGTTGGCTCACCTGTTCAGAGCCTCATGCTTCAGGCATGGAACAAGGAGCCGCAAAAGGTCCAGAACAGGCTTTTTCATGTCTGGCATTTTCACTTTTTCCATTGCCTTTTCAAATAGTCCCTGTACCACTGGAGCAGGAGCTATACTTAGATAACTTTCAATTGTTCTCATCACAGTTGCATTCAAATCTCTCAGCTCTGTTGATGAACTGTTTTTTGTGTAAGTTTCAAAGAGGATGGGTAGGAAGTTCTTAGCAAAGCGAGCCACTTCTGCCCTCTTCTCATCATGCTCTCTTGTGCTTGCAATGAGATTGCGCAAAGCAGCAAGAACATCCTTGGATAAGTCAGTCCTGTCACATATTATCTGTCCCATGGTCTTGGCTATTTCCTGAAAAAACAACAATCATCATTCAAAACCAGCCATAGAGACTCATAACTGTCTTAAATCTAGGTTCACACTAAGGTTCATTCAACAGCATTAGCTATAATATTAATAATAATAATTGAGTGGTGCAGTTATTTGGAATACAGAGACCCACTTGTTCTACATCACAATAGTTGCCATAATCCACATTATGAACAGAATGATCCTTACCTTGAAGGCAGTCAATAAATCATTGGGATTCAAGCAGAATTTAGGCAAGAGAGACCAAATCTGAGTCTCCAAAAGAGCAGCAGCTTTGCTCTCAGCCATTCTGGATTGAGCTTGGGCAGCAGTAGCCAATGTATGACATTCAACTGCAAGTGGCAGGAAAAACTTTTGGAAGAATCCCAACTCTGCACCTGACACACTCTCCCGCAACACCGGCAACAACCAGCTCTTCTCCATGTCAATAGGCCATCCCCCATTCCCCACCTGTTGGAAATGAGAACCACTGAAGAAACTGGGAATTTACTTATTCCCCTATAGATAGATATTCCATCCAATCAGTGAGAAGGTCTTTACACTTCTGTAGGTTCAATATTTTTAGACTCTAGGCTTACCTTGAGAGGTAGGGCTGCCAGGACAGTACAAGGACCCATACTCTTCACTGCCTCACCAACAGCATAATCAAGTTCCTTTGTGAACTTGAAATTCACAGAGGATCTCAACTCTCCTATGCTTTTAAGACATCTTGTGAGAACATTTGTGAGATGACCACTAGTCACCTGCAAAGTCAAATATATTGCTTTTTCTTAAGGCTTCAGAATTTAACACTCGCATTATTTCTCTATACGAGGGTAGTTTGACAATGAGTGAGAATCTCAGTAAGGAAGCACTGTGGATACACATGTACTTGAGATTCTCACTCAATGTCAAACTACCCTTGTTTATATTTCATCCAACCTAGCAGTACCAACAGAGACATGTTTCATGTTTGGAAGTGTCTCAAATACTCATCTCATGCAATCATAGTTTTTCTCTTTCAGTGATTATTGAGATTTAAACTGCTTCATATATCTGAAGTTTATCACAATATCTCACTTTCTGAAATCCAGAACACATAGAAATATAAATATTTGTCCCTTTTCTTTATTGGTAAAAAAAATGCCATTGGGGTGGGAAAAAAGCTAGCTTTAGAAGTTCTTGAAGTTCTAAAAGTTCCTCAAAAAATTTGGTACAGTGAGGACTCCAGTCATGGATTTTCCATTTGCACATAGGGTTGAGACACCAGTTTGTGGACAGTTTTGTGCTTTTTGCCATTTCACAAAATTCATGCAGAAAATTTTTCTCCTCAAATGCTGCATATTTTGCTCATGCTAGTAAGCCACCATATAAATTATGCATACCCATCAGCATGAGTGAACTTGGACATTTTTGCTTAGTTTTAGACTGCGCTGAATTCCTTAATTTTTCCAATGATATTTCTTAACAGGACATCATTGAAGATGAATAAAACTGCTGTACATATCTTAAGCCCATATTTTTATATTTGGCCTATGCACATTCATAATTGTCAAACTGGTGTCCACAAATTAGGTCCATGAATGTCCACAAACTGGGACCAGGCCATCCACAAATAGGATCCATGTGAAAATCAACACATATCCATTTAAACATATAAGTTGAACTGCTACCATCTAGAGGGCAATGACAGTGTACTCCCTTCTGTAGAAGTCTGTATCTTGTTGCTGTAGCCACTTTCTTGCAACATTTTGAAGCTCTTCACCATTGATGAAGTGTGTTCCATGAAGGTAGTCCTTCAACTGGCCAGACAGATGATAGTTGGAGGAGGCTATGTGTGGGCTATATGATAGGTGGCTGACAACACTCCATTGGAACTTGGTGATAACTTGCAATGTTCAGAATGTTGTGTGTGGGCAGGCATTGTCATAAGGGAGACAGATATCAACATCCCATAATCCAGGTTTCTTCCTCCATAGCACCTTCCTGAGTAATTGCAATGCCTGACAAAATAGGTTTGCATTAATTTTAGTGCTTTTCAAACCAAATGGGATGGGACGTTGATGTCTATCTCCCTCATGACAATGCCCAACACACATGGTGTTTCAAACAATGCAAGTTATCACCAAGTTCCAGTGGACTGTTGTCAGCCACCAACCATAGTCCTCTTCAACTATCATCTGTTTGAACAGTTGAAGGACCACCTTTGTAGAATATGCTTGTCAATGGTGAAGAGCTTCAAAATGCTGCAAGAGTAAGGTTACAGCAACAAAAAACCTATTTCTACAGAAGGGGTATACAATCGTTGCCTTCAAGATGGCAGAAGTACATAGGACAGTGATTATTTTGGGGACTACAGGAGGTGTGATGTTTGTGTACCAATTTTGGTTGCAATAAAAACAATGGTTTACTTCTTATTAAATCTTTGCAGAAACTTTTTGGAAACCCATTGAATAATTTCTTCAAGGAGGATGAATTTAATGAAACTTGATTCCCATGTCTCTAAGTCTTCATCAATCTGTCAAGTTTTGTCTAGACATGGCACAAAGTAGAGGTAGGACAGATAGATGGTGACAGGAACATAATAAAAGGTTTTGTTTTTACTATGTCCTAATGTTCCCTCAAGCAATCAACTAAAAATGTATATATTTCTCACCTACTATACACTTTCCACCTTAGCCATACATTAGGATTATTCCAAATCAATAGCATTCCTGGAAAAACCCTGTAAAATGAACTTGTGCACAGATATGGGGAGTAATGTGCTCAAGTAACAGTGTAACTCATTACTTTCCCCTGTAATGGATAACAATAAGTTCTTTTTTTTTAAACTATCATGAAATCCAGTAATGTGGCTTTTTTTTTCTTCACAAAAAGTAACTAATCTCATTTTGTCACTTTTCCCTGTGCTTAGTACTTCATTCTGAAAAATCACTCTGAATGTTCTTTCTCTTGCACTAAAGTGAAATGTGAATGCATGAAATGGACCAGACATGGGCTCAGCTTTCCACACCAGGTTGATTTGCCCATCATGGCATCTCAAAAGGATGCATTTTGTAGGAGATGAATTTATGACATTTTTGCTGGAAAAAGTACAAGAGAAACAATGAGATAAATTATCAATTCCTGCTTATGACTATAATATTGATGATGGCCATAAAAACCTCAGCTGACTCTCATGTATGTACATGTATGAATTAATGCCTTGGGTTGTCAAGCATTAGCATGAGAAAAAATTAAATTCATTACAACTTCGTACCCACCTTGCATTTGAACAATAGTAGCCCTACACCAGAATACAAAGAAATATACCATGGAATGAACATATATAATGGCATCATATACTTCTTTTGCGAATGATTAGAGATTCTAAATCTAATGTTCACCAAGAGCTGCAAAATATTTTGCACTTGCAATGAAAAATCAAGTCCTTCTCTACTTGTCACCTCTGTCAGTGGTGTAATCAAGAAATTGGGATGGGGGGGAAACTGAAATAATTGAAGAATCTTTTCAAGAAGGAAGTAAGCAAGTAGAATGAGATGACATGAATGAGTCCAAGTGGATAGGGTAAAAATCTCATTCAAACTCACCCGAAAGAGGATCCCCCAGATTCGAAGAACATGACCCCATGCAAAATGATATTGGTACTTCAGGGCACCCTGAAGAGCAGATATGATGCGAGTGATGGGAGCCTTCCCAGCCTCTAACAAATCAGCTTGATTGCTCAACCTCTCCATGGATGGTGACACACATTTTACAAGGGCAGCTTCTAGGGCAGAAGCAATCAGTGGATGAACCTGAATCTGTTCAGATTGCCAGCATTGGACCATGGTAGAGAAAAATCGGGACACATGCCCAAGGCACAAGTCCTCATCCAGTCTGCAAAAATTAAATGCAGCATGAAAGAAAGAACCTGTACTGTACATGCAGTAGACATCACTCAAGAACTTCCTTAGACCCTTATTATACTTACTGTTGCAAGGAGCACAGTGCCTCCTGAAGTACCAAGATCCATGAAGACAAAAGCTGAGCATCATTTAAAGATGGTTGAAATTCATAAAGAGCAGAGAGTAGCTGGGCAGCTGTCTTTGGAGGCAGTGATTGATTTGATGGCTGAGCTACAAGAAGCCCATGCAGGGCTTGCAAAGACCAAGACCTCAATAGAACATTATTCTGCATCAGCATCTCCAGAAGTACTTCACACAGAGACTGCACAGAAAGAAAGTTATATAAATATTTTCCTTCTTTAAAAAATAAAACAAGACATTACCACCATTTGTATGATACACACCTTCACATGATTATGAGGCAAGAAAGGGAAGATATCTTGGAGAAGAACCAAAGTGTGAAGTACAGAAGTGCAACTCTTTATCTTTCCCTGAGACTTCAGTGATTGAAGACAGAACTTTGCTGTGGCTGATGCAGCAGGATGGAACTTTGTTTGCTGGTCACCTTCAGTGTTAATTGCAGAGGGAGATTTCAGGATGGATATCACAGCATGATGGGCTGCCTTCCTCACCTGAATTTAAAATAACAATCACTTATGGAGTTCAATGCCAACTTATCGGGTTCAATGCCAGGAAAAAAGCACAATCCAGCATTCTTTTCAACACTGACCTTTGGCTTATGATGTATAGAACATGGCAGAAGGCTATTGTATACATGTAGAGTTGATGCATGACTCCAAGAGCTCAAATCCAGCACTCTCATCAGAACACCCAAGCATACAATCACCTGTAAAAATCATTTTTAAAATGAATTGAGATTGTCCCAGTGGTACCAATATGAAATTCAAATGCCATTTATTTCAAGAATAAACTGCACACTGACTTTTTGAGCTGTCAGACACCATGGCCAATATCAAACTATGAATGACTACATGAGAGATGCTCCCTGTATTTCTTAGCCTTCTCAATGCTGCTGACATGTTGAACTAATTTTGAACTGATTAAACACTCAAGTCTTAAATTTTTTTTGCAGCAGAGTAGAACTTTAATTGAGTGAATTTGATTCATCTCAAAGCTGTGCTTTACTCTGTCAAGATTTCTGACATCAAACACCTGATCAAACATATTGCATGCCTGCCTCCAAATTACATCTGACAGTCAGAAGTGTCTGGCATGAATGGGTTGAGTGACTGTGCAAATACATCAAGAACATCATGTTGAACAACTGTAGTAGAAGTTACAATAAAAGCACTTTTCCTTATGTTTTCAGACTTATGAATCATCCTGTATTGTCAGGCACTCAAGTACAAGAGAGTATATCATCACATTCATAATGCACAGTTTTATTTATATATAAGATGCCAGCAAGTACTGATGTATGGTGTTTCAAAGTCAATTTCACTGCTCAGGTAGTTATGGAGCATAGAGTGATGTACGATGGGGAAATTTGGGTAATGGAATAAACTTGATAGTGTAGAAATTAATGTAAACAAATCAGGTGTTATGCTGGCACCACTATCATGTTGTACTCTCACAGGGACTAAAAAAATGCAAAAGTATGATGTTTAAAACTTTTGCAAATTGAAAAACAAAATGATTGCCAAAATTTATTGATGATCCCCTCATATATAAAAAAAAAAGAGCAGTACTGGTATTCTCAATGAATGCCTAAAGCATAGGGTGATTGAAATAGCAGAATATAAAATGAGACACAGAGATAACCCATGTCTAGACTGTGTGATATTTTAAGGGGATTAGAGTTAGAATGGTAAAAAGAATGGCATGTTGCAGCAAGAACTTGCATCACCCATATATTGATGTTTGGTGCTTGGCCCAAAGCAAAGTTCCCCAATACTGGAATTTAAGGTCATTTAGGGTCAAGTTTGCAATTGCTTTTTAGGGGAAGCAAAAAAGAACTTGTAACAGTGGCAAGTACAATATTACCTTCATTTTGCAGCATGCCAATTTAAATATGAGGCTTAAAAGTCAGTTGTTTTTGAGTTAACACACCTGGGGACACTTTTTAACATTTATTTTATAGCTTCCATTCTAAACAACTTCCCTAATAACTATCTATAGTTGTAGACATCACAACTTTCAGAATAAAACCAAAGGTGATGGGCCCTGTCACTCTCCAGTGCCTTCTACTTGTCTTCCTCCAATATGGAGTCCTCTGGTGACTCTCGATGGATCTAGATTTGATAATTTCATATGTACAGAAAGATTTTTTCAATAGCTGTAAAATTACTGGAATCCATTTTTGAGCAAACACATTTATCCTCCATGCAATCACTAGTTTCTCATTGACATGCCATTGGATACTATAGCTCCCTCAACTTGCTCATACACAAAATGAACATCATGCCTGAGTCTCAGTTAAATTTCAAGGTCTGCAAGTGCCATGCACATAGCAGCAGCCTAGTATATCATATTTAAATCCTTTTTTTAACATTCCTCTTATAAGAAATCCTTTTAAGCATGAGATTTTTGCTCATGTTTTAGTAGTATTGGGTTGGAAAGAAAGTCTTGCAACACTTTCTAAAACTATTTATAAAAATTTTCAAAGGAATGATGGGCAGGGCTTTGCATTTGTATATGCTGGAATGTTCTCGAAGCTTCTGCCCTCGGGGTATATAAGGCGGCTTCTGCCATTAGTTGGCAGCCATGGCTCCAATCGAACAAGCAACTCTTCACCCCATTGTCTACTACGAGTTCCTCCAAGGACACTCTGCGAGAGCCGCCGCGGACAACATCTGTGCTGCATTCAAGGGAAACATCGTCCACTATTCTATGGTGTCTCGATGGTTCAAACGCTTCGAATCTGGCGACATGACCTTCAGAGATCGACCACGCTCAGGACGTCCATCTACAGTCGATGACGAAGCCCTGTGGAACGCCCTCAACACGAAGCCGAATGCCACCACTCACGAATTGGTGACTACACTTGGAGTCACCCATATGGCCATCGGCAACCATCTGAATGACCTCAGCTATTGGAAGGTTCACTCGACATGGGTCCCTCATCGGCTCAGCGACTCTGACAAAGCAAGCCGTGTCAGTGTCTGCAAATCACNCTGAATGACCTCAGCTATTGGAAGGTTCACTCGACATGGGTCCCTCATCGGCTCAGCGACTCTGACAAAGCAAGCCGTGTCAGTGTCTGCAAATCACTGCTCCTTCGTCCGCACAGAAAGGACCTTCTGAAGGAAATCGTTACTGGAGATGAGAGCTGGGTCCTCTACGTCAACCACACTCGCAAGAGTCAGTGGCTTCCACGAGGAGAATTGCCGCCACATGAATCGATACCAGGATTCCACAAGAAGAAGGTTCTTCTCTGCTGTTGGTGGGATTCAGAAGGAATGTTATACTATGAGCTCCTGCCAACCGGTACCACAGTGACTGCCGTTGTCTACACTGCTCAACTTCAGAAGTTGGCTGGCATCATTCAAAAAGAGCGTCCCAAATGCGACAACGCTCGTCCACATGTTGCGAAGATGACTTGCCAGACGATTTCGGAACTGGACTGGGAAGTTTTACCCCATCCAGCGTATTCTCTGGACTTGGCCCCTTCCGACTATCACTTGTTCCGGGCCCTCAAGAATCACCTGCGGGACAAGGCCTTCGACAATCAAGCACAGCTCGAAAATGATGTCGGCCATTTCTTCGCTTCGCAATCGCCAGAGTTCTGGGCAAAGGGCATCAAGCAGTTACCCGTGCGTTGGGAACATGTCATTGACAACATACCAGTAATGTAACATCTGACTAATTGCATTTCAATAAAGTTATAAAATTTTGAAAAATTTGCGCAAGACTTTCTTTCCAACCCAATATTTTATGCAAGGTACATGTTTCACTGATTTATACGCATGGTAGTGGCTGCTTTGTGATATGCATGTTACTACAAAAAGTAGTATTTTTTTACTTTTTATTGGCATGAGCATTTTTTACCCTTCTGAAAAATAAGGTTTGTCAGAATACCTTTATTTTTCAACAATCACTTTTCATGGGTGTTTCATGGTCCATCATTCTGCAATATTACAATACTATCTGCAATACTTTGATATTGTTTTCACATGACTACAAAGGTATCTTCCATGGCTACCTTTGTTGTTGGAAAAAAGTGAAATGAAATATTTAAAGTACAAAAAACATGCTGTCTGTTGGTATTCTTGTATATAACACTTTACAGGTTACTGAGACAGACCAAAAAAGACCATGTCTTGAAAGTTATACAAGTGCCACCCAGAGGTCTGCAAAGGAAGTACTTTCCTTCCCTCTCTGTTATATGGTCACACTAACAGCTGGAAGAGTGTCACAGGGTACTGCCTATGACCTTGTGCACCATAGACCTAATGGTTCAAAGTTATCACATTGGAACAAAACCTTGTTCAAGATATTCCTTCAGCAACCTTCTTTTACAATGGCCCAGTAATATAAGATGTTGCATTAAGTGATGGAAGCTTACATGTAAAGTATATCCTTCCTAGATCAGCTAAGTATGCATGAATTTTGGGAATTTGGGCATGGTGACCTCCTTGAATAATAGAAAAATACAAAATCTCATTGCTTTAGCACAAACAATTCTGCCCCTATGTTAGCCCCTGAGGAAAAAGTGACCTATGGGTCAAAAGGCCATCTTTGCCCCTAATTGAGATAGAAAAGTGTTTGGCTCAAATGAGAATTGAGACAGAGCTGAATCAGATTTTACTGAGACAATTTTCTTCATCATTTTTTACAGAGAAGTTAAAGAATGTGAAAAAATGTCAAATCTTACATTAATATTTTTAACAGTGGGAAACCCAGTAACATGATGAGCTTTCTGCAACATTGTAATGCTAGCTTATAACAATGAAAATAGCTTAAATTCAACATCATACATGGCAATCAGGTCCATTTCAAAGCCAAATGTGAAGTGATAACTTGTTCTGGCCTATTTTTGTGAAGAAATACAGTGGATTCCACTTAATTGGGCCATCAGTTAATGGGGGCAGCCGGTTTATCAGGACATTTTGTCAGGAATGGAATCATTCCTATGCAAATGCATTAAAATTTCACTGCATATTTGGGACGAAAATCCACTTTATTGGGGCAAGGGGTTGGGAGGGAGCAGTCAATTTGAGATGGGTTTTTCTGTTTCTTCTGTGAATTTGAGCCATTGGTTCAGGCGGGGTTTTTCCATTTTTTTTCTGGGGATTTTAGGGACTAGTCCTGGGTGGGTTTTTTCCGTTTTTTCCGTGGGTTTTTTGTGGATTTAAGCTAGGATTGGGGGTTTGGGGGATGAAGCAGATGAGGAGCTTGAGACTTTACCAAAGGTGACTCACATTGAGGCCAGGCACTCAGTGGACATCCTTCAGCACTACTTTATTGAGCAAGGATTAGGCGATACAGCACATGCTGCTTGTGCTGAAGAAGTCTTTAGAAAAGCTTTTTCAGACACGAAACAAGGAACTATGGACAAATTCCTTGAATCATAACTCTTGCTTTTTCTCAACTGAAGGGCATTCCTGCCTGGGTTTCTCATTATTCTTTCCTATACCGTAACTTCGCTTTATTGGGGCAAAACAACCTGGAACCAAAGTGTCCCAATAAAGCGGAATCCACTGTATTATGCTTTGAAGAGAAACCCATCGTGGCTGAATGTCAAACCCAATAGCATGTCAGAGGGATATCCAATCAAGACATGAAGCTTAGCTTAGCCTTTAAACTCACAGACTTCAGGATTGATTGTGGCTCTCCACTTGTATATTTTTCCAGCAATTCCAAAAGAATCTTGCTACATTCACTAAACTTGAGTTTCAACACAGAGTCAGGGACTTTACTGATGCACATACTCAGCAGACTCAATGTGGCCATCAAGGAATCTTCAGATTCTACAGTCTCCAGTCCTGTCATCTACAAAACATAAATGAGTAAACACTTATCTATAGGTTGCAACTTCGTAAAATTGATGCTACTGCTTTTCCTTATGTGAAACATAGCTATATTTAACCCTCTCATGTATGAATTTTTTAAGCTATAAATAATGAGCAAATATTTACTAATTACTGCATTTCTGAAGGCCTTTACACAGCCTTTACCATTTTTTATCCAACAGATGTAACTGTACATCCAGTCCTAACTACCATTAGACGATGGTGGGCATAACAGTACGTCCTTTTACATTTTTTCTAATTTTATAATAATTTAACATAGTAAAAGAGAGACTTGCTCCTTTTTGGAAATTGAAGTTCTCTATCAAGTTGTGTTTCGAAGTTATGTATTTTTTGGTAGACTTCAAAATAACCTCATTCACCAACCCTCCAAAGCGGCTGTGTTAATACTCCTACCATATGTTAACCTGTTTGTAGAACTAACTGCTGTCCCAATGTGAAGCCTCAAAGCATTAATAGGTGATATCAGTTCTAAAAGTGTAAATTTAGGAAAATGCACTGCATCTGTCCTTGAGATCTTTATACATGAGAGGGTAATGAAGGATTTAATGCATGAATCACAGCTAAGATAACATGCACATGATGAGCAAAGACTTACCAAAGTGGCAAAGTACTCTGTGTCTGATTCTTTTCCACCTTGGGACCTGATGACTTCAGTCACAGCTGCTAACACAGCAAGCATTTCTTTCTGGTAGGCATTTGTGGCATGAAAATTCTGGATGAACCTATGGCAGGGAATATACATAAATAATGATAATGAGCATATTACAGGGTGGTACACAATATTTAGCCCTGTCTGCCTATCAGTGAAGCTAACTGATATGACTTTGACAAGGAAAGATTTATATTATAGAAGATGATAGATTTACAGAAAGAACATTTGATCATGAGCTATTTACATGTCTTCAAAATGTTGCATGTCCATCAGCAGCATTTCAACATGCTTAAAACCATGATGGCTAAAAATTTTCAAGTGTCTCAAGGAGGGCAGAATGGTCTTTCCCATTTTCCAGCACAGTATTGGGGTGCTGGCTGAGAAGTCTCTTGTCTCCATATCCCTGGAGAGTGGAGACCAGAGGTTACAATTGAGTAGAAATACATTTGGTGGAATTACAGATTTTCATGGACATGTTATCAAACACTAAATTGAACATATTTCCTGAAATAAATAGATTTTTTTTAGAAAAGTTTTACCAATATCTCCAAAGAGGGGGGTTTGAATATTGCATGTCACCTTTTATATTATAAAGAGAGAAAGAGAGTGAACACAAATCAAAATGAAGAGAGAAAGAATACCCACATGAAATTTTCATATATGAAATGGCCATATATTTAGGCAGTCCAAAATATATGGGGCATATATGATATGACCATATAGTGCAATTCATAAATGAACATATATGGGGTTTGACACAGAGAACATAAAATGGTATAAGAATGAAAATATATGACCCCATACATTTTCATATATTGGTTCATACAAATGCACCATATACTGTCCATATATGCCTTGTCATATCTATGTATGGTGAGATTATCCTAAACATGCTTGTATCTGGAAAGGGTACACCAAGAACTCATGTTTCAGGGTGTTCAACATATGCACCCTTGTTAATAGAGGTGAAAGTTTCAATATTAAAGACTTGAAGCTTCACAAGTACTTTCATCAGTAATCCTATTTCATGACAAAACTTGGCTTACTCATGCAGGAGTGTCTTCTTCATTTTGACTGACAACTCACAAGATAGATGGGAACAAAAACTGTATTTCTTTCTGAAATAACCCAATGAATTGTTCAATGATGGCACAGCATGTGCCCCCCACTTTACAACAAAAAATGCATTAATATGAAGGAAAAGATGCATGAAAACAGTTGTAAACAGTGTCCCGAAGGTCCTGTGGCCCTTAATTAATAATTACCTTGAAATCTTTCATCAATTCAAGGTCTGTTGGGATGTGCAGAGGCATGTGTCCAAAGTGACCTTTTGACCTACTTGCCATATATATCCTCACTTAATAATGAAAACTACCACTGCTACCATAGGTTGTGCCATTAATTACTAGTAGCCCCTGCCATGTAAAAAATATGCTAATTTTTTCAGCTTTCAACTATCAAAGAAAGCACCAATAGAGAAATTAGATTCAACACATTAACCATTGTGTGACACAACAGCGTATCACAAGGTGCCATAGGGAAGACTACTTGGCAGTTTACATGTTAGAATGTTATGGGCCAAATGGACCATATGTACATGATAACACTGTCACCCATTCCAGGAAATATTCCATCAATTATCCACACAATTTGGACCAATTAATGCCTTCAAGGAGTTCCATAGGCCACTGATTTTCTCTTGACCCAAATAAACAACATAATAAAAGCTGAAGTTTAGCCTTGATAGATCAGAACAATGAAGTATCCCATGGCCATTAAAACACCTACTTTGAAAAGGATGTGTTTGAACAGTCAGTGAAGTTGGAGGCAAAGGACTTGAAGGATTTTCTGCCAATTGTGGACGCCCCACTAGCAAGGGAGTCTGTATCCATGTCGCCAGATGTAGAACCAGCATTGTGCATACGTAGGGCCTCTGTAGTCAGGACTGGGCCTGGAGTATCTATTCATTTTAGGAGATATCAACAAGAAGCCTGTTCAAATCAGAACTTGGAATAAATTTATTCACTGATAACCATAGTCATTAGGCTTCAAATGAGGACTAATATAGATATCATTGACTTACATTCTATTGCAGAAGGATGTACCACAAATAGATGGTGGTTTTTCTTGTACATAAATACAACACCACAGCACCAAACATTGACAACTACTCTACATTATCAAGCCAATCTCAAGAGGGGCAATTGCGTTATTCTTGGTCTTGATGACAACTGATATTGCTAGCTTGGCATAATGTAAGTACGCAAAAGTCAACCCGTGCACGAATTTGGACGGAATTCCAGTTCACTTCACGGACCCCGCCATTATAATGACATACTGCCCTCTGTGTCTTTGTCTTCAAATCCATGTTTTAAGCGAAGCTTAAAATGTGTCTCACAGAGAATGCATCGTTGTTAATCCTTATAGTCAACCGGAAACGAGCTCCTTAAATTACATCATTCTTACTTTAAGTGAGGCACGCTGAGATCATGGTTACAAATGTCCCTGGTATATATTATGTTGTGGTACTTACTGGTGGCTTTAAGCGTTGATGGTCGT